ATATATATATATATATATATATATATATATATATATATATATATAATTTTATATATATGTATATATATATATATAATATATATATATATATACATATATATATACATATATATATATATATATATATATATATATATATATATATATATATATATATATATATATATATATATTAGTATATTTTGGTAGCAGTCTTTCCTGTAGACATATATTATTAAATATGACCGAAAAAGTAAGATTAATAATTCTAACACGAATTTTCTCAATCTTTCGTACATTACGCTTCACTGTTGGAGGTAAATCAAAAATCACTTCTCCAAAATTCATTTTTATTTCTAGTCTGACGCGACACGGGCGCGTTTCGTAAAACTTATTACATTTTCAAAGACTTCACAAATACACAACTGATTAGAACTTGCGTTTCTCTGATTTTATATCTACATTTGAGTGAGGTGGGAAGGGTGATGTGGCATTAACACAAGACAGAACAATAGGGGATATTAATAGGGTATTAAAAGTATCAACACAAGACAGAACAGAAACAATGGGTATTGAATAGAAGTGTTTGTAGAAAGCCTATTGGTCCATATTTCTTGATGCTTCTATATTGGAGCGGAGTCTTGAGGTGGGTAGAATATAGTTGTGCAATAATTGGCTGTTGATTGCTGGTGTTGACTTCTTGATGTGTAGTGCCTCGCAAACGTCAAGCCGCCTGCTATCGCTGTATCTATCGATGATTTCTGTGTTGTTTACTAGGATTTCTCTGGCGATGGTTTGGTTATGGGAAGACATTATATGTTCCTTAATGGAGCCCTGTTGCTTATGCATCGTTAAACGCCTAGAAAGAGATGTTGTTGTCTTGCCTATATACTGGGTTTTTTGGAGCTTACAGTCCCCAAGTGGGCATTTGAAGGCATAGACGACGTTAGTCTCTTTTAAAGCGTTCTGTTTTGTGTCTGGAGAGTTTCTCATGAGTAGGCTGGCCGTTTTTCTGGTTTTATAGTAAATCGTCAGTTGTATCCTCTGATTTTTGTCTGTAGGGATAACGTTTCTATTAACAATATCTTTCAGGACCCTTCCTCCGTTTTATGAGCTGTGGAAAAGAAGTTCCTGTAAAATAGTCTGAGGACCAAGTCACTCGCCTAAATCTGGGCATAAACTGTCATGTTATGTCCAGACCGAGTGAAATGGCCCGGAAAGTAGAGTTGGAAATTCTGTTGGACGACATATTCGACCTCGAGACACAAAAGAAGGTCACTACCAAAGATACCTTACAAGCAGAACTTATTGCAGAAGGAGGAAAGAATCGAGGCAACTACAGAAGCACCATACTGTCCCCCGAGCTTAAAGCGGCAGCTAAAAGCCTTCGTGAGAACAAGGAGATAGTTGTCAGGAGAGGTGACAAGTCGCCAATATATGTCATTCTTAAAAAAGACGAATATCTGGCGAAAATGAACATCATACTCTCTGACCAAACTAAGTTCCAAAGGGTAACGAAGGACACTACAGCCGAATTAAAAGCAAAGGTCAACAAACTGATCGAAACTGTGAACGCCAAGAAATCCGGACTCCACCTGCCAAAGATCATTGGGGAATATAAACCTGGATATGCGTATGGAAATGTCAAGACGCACAAGCCTGGAAACCCACTTCGGCCAATCATTAGCCAGATACCCACACCCACGTACAGACTGGCGAAGCGACTCAACGGCCTGCTGACTCCTTATGTTCCTTGCGCCTTCAGCCTGAAGTCTCCAAAGGAATTTGTGGACTTACTGCGGGGCGCACGGGCCACAGGGATAAGAGCCTCGTTGGACGTAGAATCGCTGTTTACCAACGTACCTGTGGACGAGACAATCGGAATGATAGCCGACAGAGTGTATCGTGATCCAGCCTGTACTCCTCTTGACATGCCAGAAAGTATTCTGAGGAAACTACTCCAAGCTTGTACTAAAGAGGCACCCTTCTTGAGCCCGGATGGGCACATGTATAAGCAAGTAGATGGGGTCGCCATGGGTTCTCCCCTAGGTGTCCTGTTTGCAAACTTCTACATGGGTACCATCGAGCAAAAAGTCTTAGTCGACATGAACTTGAAACCGGCCATATACTGCAGGTATGTTGACGACATTTTTACACAGGTACCTGATGTCAGACATCTGCAGGAGCTGAAGGAGGCATTTGAGCAGAGTTCCGTGCTGCGTTTCACTTACGAGACGGAAAAGGATGGGAAGCTGCCTTTTCTAGATGTAACAGTCATGGAAAAGGGCGGAGGTTTCCACACTGCAGTCTACACTAAGGAAACAAACATAGGAATGTGCCTAAATGCCAACAGCGACTGCCCTGACAGGTACAAGAGGAGTGTTGTTAACGCATACGTCGACCGTGCTCTCAGCCACAGCTCAGAATGGAAGCAAGTCGACGAAGAACTCTGTAGGGTAAGGCAGGTCCTAGTCAATAACGGCTTCTCCAATGGTTTCATCGAAGACATCATAAGAAGGAAAGTGAAAAGCCATGCAACCTCCGAAGAGACAACTAACACAACACCTATACCCCCTATTAGACTATTTTACAGGAACTTCTTTTCCACAGCTCATAAAACGGAGGAAAGGGTCCTGAAAGATATTGTTAATAGAAACGTTATCCCTACAGACAAAAATCAGAGGATACAACTGACGATTTACTATAAAACCAGAAAAACGGCCAGCCTACTCATGAGAAACTCTCCAGACACAAAACAGAACGCTTTAAAAGAGACTAACGTCGTCTATGCCTTCAAATGCCCACTTGGGGACTGTAAGCTCCAAAAAACCCAGTATATAGGCAAGACAACAACATCTCTTTCTAGGCGTTTAACGATGCATAAGCAACAGGGCTCCATTAAGGAACATATAATCTCTTCCCATAACCAAACCATCGCCAGAGAAATCCTAGTAAACAACACAGAAATCATCGATAGATACAGCGATAGCAGGCGGCTTGACGTTTGCGAGGCACTACACATCAAGAAGTCAACACCAGCAATCAACAGCCAATTATTGCACAACTATATTCTACCCACCTCAAGACTCCGCTCCAATATAGAAGCATCAAGAAATATGGACCAATAGGCTTTCTACAAACACTTCTATTCAATACCCATTGTTTCTGTTCTGTCTTGTGTTGATACTTTTAATACCCTATTAATATCCCCTATTGTTCTGTCTTGTGTTAATGCCACATCACCCTTCCCACCTCACTCAAATGTAGATATAAAATCAGAGAAACGCAAGTTCTAATCAGTTGTGTATTTGTGAAGTCTTTGAAAATGTAATAAGTTTTACGAAACGCGCCCGTGTCGCGTCAGACTAGAAATAAAAATGAATTTTGGAGAAGTGATTTTTGATTTACCTCCAACAGTGAAGCGTAATGTACGAAAGATTGAGAAAATTCGTGTTAGAATTATTAATCTTACTTTTTCGGTCATATTTAATAATATATGTCTACAGGAAAGACTGCTACCAAAATATACTATATATATATATATATATATATATATATATATATATATATATATATATATATATATATATATATATATATATATATATATATATATAACGCCACTACATCCCTCCCACAGCATTACTCCTCCCTCCATGGAGCACAGCGCTAAATATCACCACAATCCTGCTATTATCAGAACCCTGGTCAGTTTTATCACAGTCAGGGGTCTTCTGTAATAATATCATCGCTAAATAATAGCATGAACATGTATATCATGGCATTTTTAGGCAATGCTGTGGTCACAAGCTGAACAGCAGTGCTGTGAGCTAATGCTGCATGCATCAGGCTTGGTAGCTCACTCAATACTGAGGCCCTTCACACCCGGGAATTTGGCCCACAATTTAAAAAAAAAAATGGCGTCTGTTTACAAGAGCCCTGATGAAGGTGTGGTGAACCCCGTGTATCTGCGGGCCGTTTAAATCTTGCGTAGTACTTCAATACATCATATGATGTGGAGCGCAAGTTACTGCAAGTCACTGAACAACACATATGATGAGTTGCGCACTTAAAGGGTTAAGTCTAGCCAGCCTGTGGTCTATCCTTGTACCAATGACATTAGGAAGTTTGCTGCTTTGGCTGCTGTCTTTGGCAATATGTCCTGGGCTGACATTCAGGTGCGGGGATTTTGGAGGTTGAACAGGGTCCTGGCCGCATGTTATCTCGTCAACTTTCCTGGTCCTAGTCATTCATGTGTGGTTTTGGGTCACAGGTAGCCCGTTGTATCGACTTCGAGTTGAGGAGCGAGTGTCGTCCACCTCCCGGGTAAGTCCCTAGTTTCTTTTTCATTGGCAATGTGGCTCCAGGGAGCCATAGGGACTCGCCTCAGAAAACCAGCATTGAATGTAATGAAATGGCATTTTCTGGGTGAGCACCGGAGGCTCCCTGGCAGCCCTTCCTCCCTCTGGTCAGCGATTCAGCTTTTTTTTTTTTTTTTCAGTCTCCGAACTGGATGTCTTGGGTAGCCGGTGCAGGGGGTCCGTGGCTTCCCCCCCCTCCCGTTGGGGGGGGGGAGGTGCACGGTCAGGCGACACGGCAAAGTGTGACGTTTGCGTGTTAGCTTGTTTTCTTAAGTTGTAGGGGGAGTTCTGCCTCCCTGTTCTGTTTTCGGTCGCTTTTTCTTAACAAGTGGGGTTTGTTCTGTTATGCCTACCTTTCTGGGTGCCAACCTCAGTTGATGGCAGACATGTAATGCCCCAAACCACATGGGGGTTTCTATAGTCCATTGCTCCCTTTGCCTCTCTGAGGGGGCCAGGTTCTGGCTCGTGGTCCTTGGTAGGCTGAACTCTATTGACTGATGCCCCAGTCTAATATATCGCATATCAGCCCGATAGCTCCAGGGAGCTTCCAGGGCTCACCCAGAGAATGGCATTTCATTACATTCAGCGCTGGTTTTTTTACCCAGCGGTTTTAAAACAATACACATCTTGTCTACACATTAAACGTCTCTTATATTCCAGGAATGGGGGACATAGTATACAATGTCTCCTCTGGAGTTGGGGGCACTGTGCATAGTGTGACAGCAGGAGTAAAGCGCCTTCTCACCACTCCCCCTGTCAGTTGTGAGAGTATGGTTAATGATGAGGAGGAGTGTCCCGGTGTTCTACCAGCCACTCCACGAAATTCATCATTGTCCCCTGCTCCCGACAACCCCCATAATGATCTGTAAGTCTTCGTGTACACCAGGGATGCACACACTTTTAATAACTGCTGCACACCTCAAGATTGAATCACGAACACGAGCTAAAACATTTATACAGACTCCAGTATTTTTAGAGTTTAAACATATTGATATAAAATAAAAGTACTGTACATATGATGATCTAAAATTGGTTGTTAGCCATTGCCAATATGTAGAATGTGAAATGAAAGTAAATATGTTAAAAAATAGTGTTGAAAGTGCAAAGTTATTATGTAAATTAAAATTCATCACATCTATCAAACTGGTAAGAGCCTCATGCTCTAAATGCCAGCCTAACATCTTGTTTGACTGTGGACTACCATATTACAACCCGTTCTCGCAAATTCGTAAAGTCAATATTGACTTATTAACTACGTGCATAGGTGATATACTAAACATAATAGATACCCTTAAAAAGATTCATAGAAAACACCGACCTTACCTAACCTTGTTAGTATCTTAAGATAAGCATCTTATTGCTTCGTAATTACAATTATTACTTAACCTATACCTATTATAGGTTAGGTAATAATTGTAATTACGAAGCAATAAGATGCTTATCTTAAGATACTAACAAGGTTAGGTAAGGTCGGTGTTTTCTATGAATCTTTTTAAGGGTATCTATTATGTTTAGTATGTCACCTATGCACATATTTAATAAGTCAATATTGACTTATTAAATTTGCGAGAACGGGTTGCATATTAGTAGGCATCCATCAGTCTCAAGAGACTATTGGAGATGCGCTCTGGTTGTCAGTCTGGAGTGGCCTCAGTAATAATACTAGTTAAGTAGTACTGTACTCCCATATTAAGTACAGTATTATTTAACTTCAACACATCAGATCTCAGTGATGATGTACTTTCCTACCTGTAGTACAATTACAGTAATACTATACTTAAAATTGCCACCTTAATATAGTAAAGCTCCAAAGATGAATGACTGGAAAATAAGCTATAGATTGCAGTGTGCAGTTTATAAACTGAGGAAATAAGGGTATCAGTATAATTTATTCAATTTCTTATAAGCTAACTAGTTTTACAGAGATTTGACAATAAAAATGCTCTGCCTATGGCTCATGGTCTATTAGGCCAAGTACTGTAGTTCTGGTTTATTATGTATGACATATACACACATACTGTATATTCATACATTACCAGTATACAGTGTATGACAGTAAAGATTATATTTGTGTTCATTAGGAGCCCTGGAACAGATTCTGAAATTGGAGAAGAGGAGGCAGCAATAAATGGTGAACTTGGGCTGTCAGAAGACCATTTTTCCCAACCTGAGGTAAGCACTGTGGACACATTGAAAGAAGACTTGATTACTGTACGATACCTTTAACCCTCAGAGGCACAGTTATTGTCATGTGTTGATCATTTAGCTCCGTGGTTCTCCCACATGTCAAGGGAGGCCACAAAATAAATTGTAGTTCTTAGTTAAGCTCCTGGTCTCGCATTATCATATGATGATCGTAAAACTTACCTACTGTAGGCCAACATAAAGACCCTTATACAATAAGATTATACTAGTATTGGTGTTTTTTTTATTTTTGCATACAGAATCCTTACTTTTGAATATACAGTGGCACCTTGACTTACGATAATTTCGAGTTACGATATTAATTTGATTGGAAAATGCTACTCGACTTACAATAGTGTCGTCACCTAACGATATTTGTTGATACACGTTTGGGTCGACCAAGCGCATGGTTCCTGGTCGCGCGGGCCGACCTGCCTCAGTTTACTAGAGCCGCCCGCTTAGTGATGATCACGCTTATGAGAAATTCTATTTTTTTGGTGATTTTTTGCTTTTTGAACATAAAACTGATTATTATATATCACACCATGGGTCCCAAGAAAGTCAGTGGTAAAGTTCAACATATGAAAACACATGTAAGGATGACCATAGAGCAAAAACAAGAGATCATTCGTAAATACAGTATGAAGATGGTGTGCGGATTGCTGAACTAGTTAGGCAGTACAACAAATCTCAGTCAATGATATCCACCATACTTGCTGCTAAGAAAAAGGACATTATGAGTGCTAAAATGGCAAAAGGCGTATCAATAATCACAAAACATAGAACACAAACACTTGAGGATGTTGAACAGTTATTATTAATTTGGATACACAGCAAGGAGTTAGTGGGTGATAGCATTTCAGAGGCCATCATTTGTGAAAAAGCAAGGAAATTGCACGAAGACCTTTTAAGGAAAACCCCTGGAATGAGTGATGCAAATGTGAAAGAGTTTAAGGCGAGCAGGGGATGGAGGAACACATCAAAGAATTGACCACCGAAGAACTTCACAAGGAGCAGCAACAAGAGACAGTTGAGGAAATTTCTTCAGGGAAGGAGGAGACAGTACAGAATGTCCCTTCCTCATTAATTAAGAAAATGTGTGCAGTATGGGAAGAATTGCAAACTTTTGCTGAAACGACTCGCCCAAATCATGGTGCAGTAGGTCGTTGCCTTAACCTTTTTAATGACACTGTTCCTTACTACAGACAAAAATTAAAACGTATGGAAAATAAAAAAATCTATGGCAAAGTGTTTTGTGAGACAAACAAGCAGTGAATCACAACCAGGTCCTAGTGGTATGCAGGCAAAATGTCAGAGAAGTCATCACTGCCTGATGTTATAATGGAAGGGGACTCCCCTTCCAAACAGTAACACCTCTCCTCTTCCCCCCCCCCCCCCCCCTCCTCACCATCTTCCATGTGCCATCAAGAGTCCTCCATAAAGGTAAGATGAACATATGTACTGTATTGTAGTTAGAGAAAAAAATTATATTAAGTATAAAATGTATTTGAAAGTTAATTTTTTGGGGGTGTGGAATGGATTAATTCAATTCCCTTTAGTATTTTTATGGGAAAAATCATTTCGACTTACGATATTTCAACTTACGATACATCTCTGGGAACGGATTACCATCGTAAATCGAGGCCCCACTGTACAGTGCTGTTTTATATAAAAAGCAACTAAATAATGATAATTTGTTTTGTTGGAGATAGGAAGCCTGTGTATATGTATAATTATTATAAATATAATTATATAAATATATTATTATTACATTACAATAATTAATTCTTAAATTTGTAAACTTTAGGCTTGTATCTCTCAAGTTGTAACCCGTAACCTTGTGTCTCCCAAGGTTGAACTACTGATCTTATCCTTGATGCAACCCCACAACATTTGCCTAACTCCTGGGTACCTCTTTACTGCTAGGTGAACAGATCAATTAGGTGAAAGGAAATGTCCCTTACCATTTCTGTCCCACCCAGGAATTGTATCCAGGATCCCCAATTGTGAGTCGAGAACAAAGCCAACTGTACTTTGGTTAAACAAGGCGAATGACCTTAAAAATAGAGTTTCTCAAATTTGTGAACTGCTGTATCTCAGATATAGTGCATTTATCTCAATTAAAATAAGAAAATGTTAAAATTAACTTAGCAAATAAATTTAAATAAGGTTTATTGCCCATCAGTAACATGTGCAAATTGATTTTATAAGGGGTCTCTGTTTTCCAAAATTGACCCAACCAGCTATCTTGAGGTTATCTTGAGATGATTTCAGGGCTTGGCGTCCCCGCGGCCCAGTCCTCGACCAGGCCTCGTTTTTGTTACACACACCCCCAGGAAGCAGCCCAAAGCAGCTGTCTAACTCCCAGGTACATATTGACTGCTAGGTGAACAGTCCCATCAGGATGAAAGAAACTGCCCATATGTTTCTGCCTCCACCAGGAATCAAACCCCCAGCTGCCTAGTTGTGCAGTAGTATCTATGAATTATGAGATACAATTCTCCCTCTTTTGTCCCTCTTCTCTACTTTAACCTCCTCTCCTTCCCTCTCCACCACTGTCCCCTCTCCCACCCTCTAATCCTCTTTCTCTCCACTCTCCTTCAATATTTTCCCCCTCTTCCCTTCTCTCATTCCCTCTTCTCAGAGGGAGAAGTTCCCCTCTCCAACTTTCTCCCCCTCTCACCCCTCGCCTCCTCCCCCCCCCCTCTATTCCTTCCTTCTCAACCCTCTCCCCTGCCCTCTCCACCTTTCATGCCCCACTCTCTACAAACATCCCCCTCTCCACCCTTTCTCACACCTCACTCTCCCCCTCTCCACCTTTTCTCACACCTCACCCCCTCACCCCCCTTTCTCACACCTCACTCTCCCCCTCTCCACCCTTTCTCACACCTCACTTTCCACCCTTTCTCACATCTCACTTTCCCTCCTCTCCACCCTTTCTCACACCTCACCCCCCTCACCCCCTTTCTCACACCTCACTTTCCCCCTCTCCACCCTTTCTCACACCTCACCCCCCCCCCCCCCTCACCCCCCTTTCTCACACCTCACTTTCCCCCCTCTCCACCCTTTCTCACACCTCATCCCCTCTCTACTTCTCTACTCTTTCTCACACCTCTTGCCCCTCTCCACCCTTTCTCACACATCTCGCCCCTCAACATCCTTTCACACATCTCTCACCCGAACAAATCCACAAGGGCCGTGACGAGGATTTAAACCTGCGTCCAAGAGCATCCCAGACGCTGCCTTAATCGACTGAGCTACGACATGGTCAAAAGGAGTTGAAACAAAAGTTCTACTGAACTTACTGGAAACTGCAGCCTTTCCGAGGCACAAACCAGGGTTTTACACGACTCCCCCCATGCACTCGAGCTATGTCAATAGGCCGTTCTCCCTCTTTGCCCTTACTTCATTACACACAGAAATCACAATTGTGGATTTGTTCATTTGATACATCAAATGAGCAGTAAAATAGGTACCTGGGTGTTAGTCAGCTGTCACATGCTGCTTCCTGGGGGTGGAGGCCTGGTCGAGGACCGGGCCGCAGGGACAGTAAAGCCCCGAAATCATCTCAAGATAACCTCAAGAAGCATAAATAGATATATCTATATTATTCTGTACCCATTCCAGATTTGTGAATAATCGATGTTGGGATATTTTTGCCTTAGGCTATTTATCATCAAGTGTTTGTTTTCTTACAGCAAATGATAGAATGCATTTTTGTGCCAATTTAAACCCAAATAATATATAAACAATGGTATTCCTATATGATATTAGTAATAGCATGCAAAAAACTATTGTTGGGGAAGTTTGTCGAATTCTTATATTAATCTTGTCATGTCTATACCGTGCCCCGTGAAGTTGGGGCTTGGCAACTACTGGTTCAGGTGCCCCCTTCCGTCTCTTGATTTTGATTGTGGATGGCTTCAAGGCCTTTTTCTATTTGCTGGATGTCTTCTGTTATCTTACCTACCAAGAGACGGGCAAACAGATATATACTAAACTCTACATATAAAAAACCAGTATAAAGACAACAAATTGCTGCAGGTAATGCTGGACTGTGGATGGACACAAGTATGGTTCACTCTCGAGGCCACTAAATTCAGTACAGTATAATAATAGCTTACAAAATTAAGTATTTTGTCACTAAACAAAGTTGCATTGTCAAAACTGTAGTGTATAAATGAGCATTATATGAAGGTCCACAGTGAAAAAGACCCATAATTCACCTATAATTAATTGCAGACTGCAGTACATAATGTGGAAAACAAGATCATAAGCTACAATAATATATCTGAATCCTTATGTTTTTCAGGAAAGTTTGTTATGCATGAGTGAAGACACTCTTGAGAAAAGCATTGAAAAATGCAAGTTGTTGATCCTGCAATGTAAAGAATCTACCAACAGAAGACGAGCCCTCGTTCACAAACTTATACAACTGAGACTACGGTTGCAGGTTTGATTCTTATCACTTCAAAATCTATAGCAAAGTGTATTTCTTAGTATTTTTGGCTCTTCATTTCCTTCATTCATCAACATTGAAGTTTTTGCTTCAATGGACTAAGAATCTGTGATTCTTAGCCCAAATTTAATACATTTAATGCAGTGTTTGCAACCATCTCTGTACTTATTGAAGTTGGTAAAACTCGGTTCTTTTATTTACATTCTTCTGTCCTAAACAGTATCTCCTTTGCTATTAGAAATTATGGCAAACCCACTAACACAATGGGTGAAGCTCTTCATTAGCACCAAAACCAAACTTACTAGGAGTGAGGTGTTCTTGCCAGTTTGATTAAACCCTCTTGTTTGTCTGTTACTTGATCTTTCTGAACCTGTTTTGGTTTTGCCCTGTAAGAAGTCTCGTGTCCATAATATATAAAGTTAAGAAGAGCTATCTTCTCTTGTTTTCCTCTCTACTTAGTGCTAATCATTATGGATTTGGCAAAGCCAGGTCCATTAGCATTCTTTTGACATTTGTCACTAACCTTTGCTCATTTTAACTGCATTCTGTTTTCTTTTACTGAATATTAAACCTCGTTCTTATTCTCACACTGCTAATTTTGCTCTGTGGCAATCATTCTCCTTCATGCCTCCTTGAAATAATAAATGTAGTGTATTGCTTTAAATAAAAAAATTATTCTACACGCAATTTTAACGTTTCTTTAATAGGAGACTCGTGATGCAGCCGAGGTTGCTTCTACTGGTGTGCTTTTCCGCATGAGTCACCAGTTGCAGCCTCAGAAGCCTCCCCTCACTCGTGCATCAAAACAGTACTGTGACAAGTGTGCACAGATCATCTGGGGAGTCATCCATATATCTTATATATGTATATGTAAGTTACTTAATATTCTTGATGATTCATTATCTAGCATCACATCATATATTTACTGAACAAAATATTGTTGAATTGACTTTATTGGCAAGGCTGATACAAGTTTCATATACTGTGTGGGTTTTATATAGGTTCTTAATTTTGCAGTGTGTGAATACAGGTGCCATGGTAGGTGTGTGGAAGGTATCCTGAGACGATGTGCCAGTGTTAAGGTGAACGAAGATGCAACTTACATTTTACGCATCTGTCCTGAAGTTGGATTGTCTGCACAAAACTACAAGTGTGCTGAGTGCAAGATACTTATTACCAACAGTGAGTCTAAGTTCTGGTGTTGTGGCATTTACATAATTGCAAGCCTTATTAAAGATTTCTCTCGAAAAGAACAAAATTGTTGTTTCCTGATTGCTCTGTAATGACACTTGCACACAAAGAACTCATTTCTAGGCACATTGCTTTCAGCTTACCCCAGGAGAGGTTGGGAGTGGACATTGCAGTCAGAATTTAATGCAGATTGCTCACAAGATAATGTAGGAAATATTTTGAATTGCAGGGCTCATACTTAATTTCTGCTTATAATTCCAATAAGGACACAAATTGATTGTACAGTCTGTGGTATTGTTACAAATGATGTTCATTGACGGATTCTGTCCTTTATATCATCAATTGTTGAATGTAAGCACTAGATACCTTGCCCTCAACACAGACTGGAACATACGATGAGATTTAAAGAGGATGCTGTAGACCTCTCTGGTTAGCCTGTTCACTCATGTAAATGTTTATAATTTGTATTTTATTTTCACACTCCCTTCACCCACAATGTTCTAATATACTGCACCTGAATGCAATCTTCATGTTTTTCATAAATAAAATATGGCAACATTGATGGTACAGCTTTTAATATAATGAAAAAATCTTTACTCGAGCCTAAAATATTCATGGCAAATATGGGGTAATGGTTCAGAAGTAATGATTTTTTCACAAGTTAAAACATTATTTGATAATAAAAGTAAAAATATACAGTACCAGGTACTGTATTTCAGTGTGTTATTATTACAAAACACTAATACACAACTATCAACCCTTTCTCTGCATCAATACAGTGCTGTATTTATGTGGGCTCCTGTTGTCAGGAAGGAGCTTATTTGGCATTCCATTCACCTGGGCTCTAGGAGTCTCGAACCCTGGACCCCAGGCGTGTGAGGCTGAAGCTCTATCGACCGAGCTATTGAATAGTCTTAATAAGGAAAGTTTCCACAACTTACGACAACCTATTAGGCTTTTTGAAGTTCCCCTTAGGCTAACACCTGACCTTTCCCAGGATACAACATAAAAGAGCTGCTGAACTCCCAGGTATGTACTCACCTAGTTGTGCTTGCGGGGGTTGAGCTTTGGCTCTTTGGTCCTGCCTCTCAACCATCAATCAACTGGTAATTACCTAAGTGTAATTACCTAAGTGTAGTTACAGGATGAGAGCTACGCTCGTGGTGTCCCGTCTTCCCAGCACTCTTTGTCATATAACGCTTTGAAACTACTGACGGTCTTGGCCTCCACCACCTTCTCACCTAACTTGTTCCAACCGTCTACCACTCTGTTTGCGAAGGTGAATTTTCTTATATTTCTTCGGCATCTGTGTTTAGCTAGTTTAAATCTATGACCTCTTGTTCTTGAAGTTCCAGGTCTCAGGAAGTCTTCCCTGTCGATTTTATCAATTCCTGTTACTATTTTGTACGTAGTGATCATATCCCCTCTTTTTCTTCTGTCTTCTAGTTTTGGCATATTTAATGCTTCTAACCTCTCCTCGTAGCTCTTGCCCTTCAGTTCTGGGAGCCACTTAGTAGCATGTCTTTGCACCTTTTCCAGTTTGTTGATGTGCTTCTTAAGATATGGGCACCACACAACAGCTGCATATTCTAGCTTTGGCCTAACAAAAGTCATGAACAATTTCTTTAGTATATCGCCATCCATGTATTTAAATGCAATTCTGAAGTTAGAAAGCATTGCATAGGCTCCTTGCACAATATTCTTTATGTGGTCCTCAGGTGATAGTTTTCTATCTAGAACCACTCCTAGATCTCTTTCTTTATCAGAATTCTTTAAAGATTTCTCACATAATATATAGGTTGTGTGGGGTCTATGTTCTCCTATTCCACATTCCATAACATGACATTTATTAACATTAAATTCCATTTGCCAAGTGGTGCTCCATATACTTATTTTGTCCAGGTCTTCTTGAAGGGCATGACAATCATCTAAATTTCTTATCCTTCCTATTATCTTAGCATCATCAGCAAACATGTTCATATAATTCTGTATACCAACTGGTTGATCATTTATGTACACAATAAACATCACTGGTGCAAGAACTGAACCCTGTGGTACTCCACTTGTGACATTTCTCCATTCCGATACATTGCCTCTGATTACTGCCCTCATTTTTCTATCAGTCAGAAAATTTTTCATCCATGATAGAAGCTTACCTGTCACCCCTCCAATATTTTCCAGTTTCCAGAACAACCTCTTATGTGGAACTCTGTCGAAAGCCTTTTTTAGGTCCAGATAGATGCAGTCAACCCAGCCATCTCTTTCCTGTAATATCTCTGTGGCCCGATCATAGAAACTGAGTAAATTCGATACACAGGATCTTCCTGATCGAAAACCATACTGTCTGTCTGATATTATATCATTTCTCTCCAGGTGTTCTACCCATTTAGTTTTGATTAGCTTTTCCAATACTTTCACTATTACACTTGTCAATGATACAGGTCTATAATTGAGGGGGTCTTCCCTGCTGCCACTTTTGTAGATTGGAACTATGTTAGCCTGTTTCCACACGTCTGCTACGATTCCTGTACACAGGGATGCCTGAAAGATCAGGTGAAGTGGAATGCTGAGCTCAGATGCACATTCTCTCAGAACCCATGGTGAAACGCCATCTGGGCCAGCTGCTTTGTTCTTCCCGAGCTCCTTTAGCATATTTTCCATATAGCATCATAGCATATGGTGTACAGATGCCTGAGCTTTTCAAGCTCTATCATATCTACACTTGAAACTGTGTATGGATTCAGCCTCCACCACATCACTTCGTAATGCATTTCATTTACTAACTACTCTGACACTGAAAAAGTTATTTTTAATGTCTCTGTGGCTCATTTGGGTACTCGGCTTCCACCTGAGTCTCCTTGTGCGTGTACCACTCGTGTTAAGTAATCCATCCTTGTCTATCCTGTCAATTCCCCTGAGAATTTTGTATGTGGTGATCATTTCTTCCCGAGCTTTTCTGTTTTCCAGCGACGTGAGGTGCATTTCATGCAGCCTTTCCTCGTAACTCATGCCTCTTAGTTCTGGGACTAGCCTAGTGGCATTTCTCTGAACTTTTTCCAGTTTCATCTTGTGCTTGACAAGATACGGGCTCCATGCTGGGGTCGCATACTCCAGGATTGGCCTTACATACGTGGCATACAAGGTTCTGAAACATTCCTTACACGGATTTCTGATGGCAGTTCTGATGTTAGCCAACCTCGCATATGCCGCCGATGTTATTCTTCTGATGTGGGCTTCAGGAGACAGGTTTGCCATGTTATTGACTCCTAGATCTTTCTCTCTCTCTCTCTCTCTCCGTTTCGTGAAGGACTTTATCTCCCATTCGATATCTCGTGTCTTGCCTTCTGTTTCCTCTACCTAGTTTCATTACCTTACTTTTACTTGGGTTCAATTTTAGTAGCCATTTGTTGGATCATTCCTTCAGATTGTCTAGGTCATCTTGTAGCCTCATACTGTCTTCCTGTCTTAATCCTCCTCATAATTTTTGCATCATCAGCAAACATTGAGAGGAATGAGTCTATTCCCTCTGGGAGATCATTTGTATATACAGTATCAGAAACAGTATAGGTCCAAGGACTGATTCCTGTGGGACTCCACTGGTGATGCCTCACCACTCGGAAACCTCACCCCTCACAGTGACTTACTGTCTTTTGTTGCTTAGGTACTCCCTTATCCAGTGGAGGACCTTCCATTTCACTTCTGCCTGCATCTCCAGCTTTTGTACTAGTCTCTTATGTGGTACTGTGTCAAGGCTTTCTGGCAATCCAAAAATATGCAGTCTGCCCAGCCTCCTCTTTCTTGCCTGATTTTTGTTTCGTGGTCGTAGAATTCAATTAATCCTGTATTTTATGTATTTCCTGCTTGGTGAACATTGGAATCTGGTGTAAGGAAATGTGCCAAAAAATACCTCGTCCTTCCTGAGAGTATAGAAAATTAATATTGCCTCCTATAGTTTGTAGTGATTTTAAAACTACTGAAATAGTGCAAATTGTTCTTGAGGGGAATAGTCATAAGAAGCATGCTTTATGATTGTGGTAAATTTGTTTCGTCGAATCAGTGTAATAAGCCAAGTCTGCTTTAAAATTTTAGCTCATCTACATTACTAGAGGAAAGTACTGTACGTATTTATATCTCTAGATTAATATTAAAATAAATTTTAAGAACTTAGAACAGAGTAAATTCAGTATTAGAGTTTTGTTGTGTGTTTTTTTCATGTATATGTTTGCATGTATGGAAGTTCATCCCTGGGGGGGCCCTTTACTTTTGAGTATCTAACACAACCCACTCCAAATTACCTACCACTCTGTGATATGTACGGTACAACAGTGCTGAAGGACTTGACTTTACTTGACACCCCTTAATTTGATTTATTTGTCACTTAATTTGAGTTCATTTGATTCGAGTTTTCATGTGCATCCACTGGTTTTACTTGTCATCTGTAACACCTAAGGGGGGGTAACCATGTAGCTTTTCCAGAAAGGAGATTACACTCTATACTCAAGTCTTATTTTGTTACTTTAGAGGAAATAGATTTAGGAAAGATGTGTCCCAAACTCAGTTTCCCTGCTATACAGTATTTTATATCTATTTTGAGGCTAATCTTTTTCATGAAATCCATGCTAAGGCTTGCAATAGACATGTGTTTTTTTTATTGCTTAGGAATAATTTAATTTTTGGTTTCCCTTTTATTAGGGACAGGAAGCCAATTATGCTTTCCCCCTTGTCCAACAACTGACCTTTTCCAGGATGCATCCCACTACAGTTCCTTAACCTAAAGGTACCTACCTATGGCAAAGTGAATAGAAGTACTAGGAAAAAGGAAAATGTGCTTGAAAGTACATCCTGCACAGGAATAAAACCCAGGACCCTAAAGTTGTAAACTGACTATGCTATAACTTAAGTGAACTTCTTGCTTAAATCTGTTGCATTTTAGTAGGGTAAGGCTTGACACTTTCAGATTGACAGCTACAGTAAAAATGTTACAAATTGTTACCTACCGGTATGTAGCAAATGTTACAATATTTTCATAACGAAACGACACAGACAATGGAGAAAAGACATTTTGGTTCGTCCTGGACCATTATCAAGTCGTGTGATAGAAGAGAGGAAGGTACGGGCAAATAAATAAGGAGAGAGTGAGGAGCAGGTAAGAGAAAAAGATAAGAGTAAGATGAAAGGTAAGAATAGGATGAGGTAAGAATAAGAGGAAGGTAAGCAGAAAGGTAAGGAACAGCGGAGGTAGGCTTAAAAGGGAGTCAGGTTTGTTAGGAAGGTTGGAGCATTTGAGCATGTACTGTGAAAGAGAAGAGTCAACAGCAACAAAGCCAGGACTAAGGTTCATGTTAGGCATGTTGTGTATCAGAGCCAATTCAACAAGCCGGCATCTGTGAAGAGTAGAAACTGGAAAGATTATGGAAGAAGACGACCAATCAGTAGGATGATTAGGGAACCTAACGTGATAGATGAGAGCATTATTTGTGTCTGCAGACAAAAAACAATGCTGCATATGAGGAGCCACAATAACGTGGCTGAAATATGTTGACCAAACCACACACTAGAAAAGTGAAGGGACGACAACGTTTCAGTCTGTCCTGGATCATTCTCAAATCGATTTTGATAAGAGAAGGAGGCAAGGCAATAAATAGAGGAAATATTAGAGGAAGAAAAAAAGCAAGGCAAAAGGTACGAAAGGTAAGGTGTAATAAAGGGGATAGTAATAAGAATAGTAGGAATCCTACAGTTTCTTGAGACTATGGAGTTGCACTCTGGATGTCGATCTCTCCAGGGTGCAAAGCCTGTGTAGGTATATATGGAGGAAAAGCTGTTACCCATGCAGCAGGTCCCTCCTCTCCACGTTGCAAAGCCTGTGTAGGTATATATGGAGGAAAAGCTGTTACCCATGCAGCAGGTCCCTCCTCTCCACGTTGCTGGAATTATCCAATGGAATGGCAAATGCCAATACACATGATTCCAGCACCGTCGTGGGAGCTGCCAGAACGAGGTCAAAGTCAACGACAAACCACCTTAGGGGTTACAGCTCCTGATTTCCTTGAGGTTGTCTCCTGAAGCCTTTCCCAAAAGAGTGGTATGGCTGCAAGGCAGCGGAGGTTTGAAATCAAGGTTTTCCTTCCCCCTAGATGGGCTGCCTTCCCAGGCTAACGAGTCGCATCTACCCGGAGCAACTGGTTTTAAGGTGCCAGAGGCATGCCCTTGCCCCTTCTCCTGTCAGTAAAAGCAGTTCCGCTGGAGTTAAAGACTAAGCCACCCGTGCAGGCCAGGAGTTGGACTTGGTTGTCAGAGGCTATTTGAGACGCACGCCGTACGGGAGCATTTTATAGGTAATGGGAGCTCGTTCCCCATTACCACCCCCTGGCTATGACCACCCCTTGGAACCCCTAAGTAATAGGAATAAGAATGTAAGAACAAAGGTAACTGTTAAGTCTGCAGACACAAACAATGCTCTCTTCTGTCATGTTAGGTACTCTCATCTTTCCTGCTTCTACTCTTCACAACAGACCCTGTCTGGTCGAATTGGTTCTGATACACAACATGCCCAACATGAACCTTAGGCCTGGCATTGTTGCTGTGGACTCTTCCCTTTCACAGTACAAACTCAGATGCTCCAATCTTCTTAACAAACATAATGCGACTTAAGCCTACCCCATTTTCTTACCTGTTTTTGTTTTCTTACCTTTCTCTTACTCTTACCTCTTCCCATTCTTGCCTTCTTGCTCTTACCTTTTTCTTTTACCTGCTTCTCACCTCTCGCCTCACTCTTTTCCTTATATATTTGTCTGTACCTTCCTCTCTTTCTCTCCTCTCTCTCTTTCTCTCCTCTCTCTTTTTCTCTTTCTCTCTCATATTCATTATTTTGCACAGAATTTCAGTAATGTACTCAGAGCAGCTGTATTAACTCTTTAATTGCAAGGCCTACTTTGCCTTTCAGCTACAGTAGGATAACTTTTCCCTATATTCATCCTATATTCATGACTTTCCTTCTTCTGTGAAGAATGGAATTTTCATCATTGCTAATCACTGACACCAATTTTATGGCACCAGCTTTAATCTGCCTTGTTTGGTTAAAGCAGTTGATCCCTCCTCTCTCATTCTATTTTCCATGCTTACCTTTCTTCCTGGCTCGGTGCCTTCTTTTCATAATTACTTATTTATTCTCCATGCTGGTGTGTACTAATCTGAAAGTGGAGGGTTTTGCTGTTATTAAATTTGTTTCATTTTATTTCTTAGTGTAGTGTGCTGATTAAATTTTCATGCTTTTTTAATTTATTGTTTTACTCAGATGTAGCACTGTCATGCCCAAGAAGCAACACATGTCTTTGTCTTGCATGGACTCTACAGTTTTGGAATGGTAATCTAATTTTGCACTTTAATTTTTTCAGAATTCACTGTAATTACAAAGAGTGGAAAGAAATTAAGATGCAAAGGTATTCCTTCTCAGTACTTGGCTACATAATAGGATATTGGAGGTATAGTAACTGATCAGTTATCCTGCTCCATAGGCATGTGGATTTTCAGAAGTTTTACTTGTCACAGATATTTTTTAACTGCTGGACTATCTGTTGACTATTTCGTTGATCGGTGTCCCCATGGCCCAGTCTCTGACCAGGCCTGATCAGAGATAAAGGACCGCATAAAGAAATTATTTAACTGGTTATAATGCATTAGAAATGTGTACCCATCATTTGCAGCATTTGCAATTGCAGTCATATTTTTAAGTATAGCCTCTGCAGTTGTAGTTTCTGAATTGTACTACTCGACTGCTCCCTTATGCATTGACCTGCTCATCCCAAGGACTGCCCCAAACACAGCCAGGATACGTTTAACAATTACTCTTAGACACAGATTAGATATTTTTAAATGTTCCTTTCAACTCAGTTTGGGAAAGGAGTCACTGGAGATGAGACAAATGAGACACTGGAGAGGAGACAAATACAGTATTCCTTCCAGCTCATAATGACCTCCTGAAAGGTCATTCATCTGTACTCAAAACCTTCTCCGAGCAATTCTTGTCCTCGAGAACCAATATATATATTGTTTTACTAGTGGAGGACCCACTTGGCCACTACCCCAGACTGCCAGCCAGCTACAGAGTAGCTAGGAGCTCACCACTCTTCACCTCAGACATAATGGCACAGGAATCTACTTGGAAGTGTTTTTCCAAGCTGCCTTCAGGAACTTAGAAAAAAAAATTATCAAATTCTATATATATATATATATATATATATATATATATATATATATATATATATATATATATATATATATATATATATATATATATATATATATATATATATATATATATACATACACACACACACACACACACACACACACACACACACACACACACACACACACACACACACACACACACACACACACACACACACACACACACACACACACACACACACACACACACACACACACACACACACACACACACACACACACACACACACACACACACACACACACACACACACACACACACACACACACACACACACACACACACACACACACACACACACACACACACACACACACACACACACACACACACACACACCACACACACACACACACACACACACACACACACACACACACACACACACACACACACACACACACACACACACACACACACACACACACACACACACACACACACACACACACACACACACACACACACACACACACACACACACACACACACACACACACACACACACACACACACACACACACACACACACACACACACACATATATATTCCACATGTCTGCTGATTCTCCAGCTCTAAAATTCTCTTCTCATGTGGTCTCTTGTCTTTTTCTAAGTACCATGTAGTCTTACCATGAGTCACACCCATCCATATCTACTGAGGTTCTGCCATTAACACTTGTACTCAAAATATTATAGCTAGCAATATTATGGAAAATGTAACTTCGATTAACCAACATTGTGACTTTAGTTACCTCAATTGTGAATGAAGGAAATATTCTACGCATATCTTGGGAGTCCATCCTTGTACTCATTGCAATCTCCTTCATGGCTTAATGTCCTCGCCCACATTTAAAGAAAGGATTCACAAATGAATGATATAATTTTGTCTGAAATTAGTCAGCCATAGAGCAATCTCAATCAACTTTGTATTTTTCAGGCATTAACATATCACTGGTCGTGCCTACTTTTCCAGAAATATGAACTTAATTTAGGAAATACAACTTAAGAATGAGTGATGTATCTAATGGCATAGCAGGTTTATAGGATAAAATAAAATAACTAAGCAGAAAGAGCACCGAGACACTCTTCAGTTGGATATTTGTAGTTACAAAGGAACTACTGTCACAAAGAGAGGGACAGGTATTTTGAGTCCTGGTGAAATCAGATCTATGTTATTAGCTGTGTGTTTGAAATGATTTTGATCCAGGATACCTCAAGAATCTATTGATGTAGAATACTGAGGGGCATATAAATATCAATAACTTCATGGTATGATTAGCTTATATTAGTTCTACTCTATCTTGAGGTTATCTTGAGATGATTTCGGGGCTTAGTGTCCCCGTGGCCCGGTCCTCGACTAGGCCTCCACCCCCAGGAAGCAGCCCGTAGCAGCTGTCTAACTCCCAGGTACCTATTTACTGCTAGGTAACAGGGGCATCAGGGTGAAAGAAACATTTTCCCATTTGTCTCTTCCTCCACCAGAGATTGAACTCGGAACCTCAGGACTACGAATCTGAAGCGCTGTCCACCCAGCTGTCAGGTGCCTGACAGCTAATTCTAATTCACATAGAAATCACAATAGTGTGATATATCAAATGAATAAATCCATAAGGGCCGATTCTTATCCATGTCATGGCGCAGTCGATTAAGGTGTGTCTGGGATCATCCTACCTTGAGGTTACCTTGAGGTGCTTCCGGGGCTCAGCGTCCCCGCGGCCCGGTCGTCGACCAGGCCTCCTGGTTGCTGGACTGATCAACCAGGCTGTTGGACGTGGCTGCTCGCAGCCTGACGTATGAGTCACAGCCCGGTTGACCAGGTATCCTTTGGAGGTGCTTATCCAGTTCTCTCTTGAACACTGTGAGGGGTCTGCCAGATATGCCCCTTATGTGTAGTTGAAGCGTGTTGAACAGTCTCGGGCCTCTGATGTTGATAGAGTTCTCTCTCAGAGTACCTGTTGCACCTCTGCTTTTCAACGGGGGTATTCTGCACATTCTGCAATGTCTTCTGGTCTCCCTAGATGTAAGTTTGAACCCTCATCACGGCACTTGTGGATTTATTCTACTCTAATTGTCTTTTCATTATCGTGACTTTGTGATATAAATTGTGCCAATATCTGTCTAACTGCCCTAATGATAAACCTCACTATGATTTTAAGATATATATTCCCTTTCAAATTGTAAGCTAAATGTCACTCATTGTAGGCCAAAAATGTAAGTTTGATATAGATTGCTATACACGTGTTTTAGTCCAGCTATTATTGAAATGATTTGTACAAGATGTTATGGATAAAGTTTCTAATATTGACAGTGTCTACGTAATATGCTGTTATTGTGACACTTGTGTAACTAATGTACCGTAATTTTTATATAAACTTTCCCAATTATAAATTTACAGCTGTTTATGACTAAAGCTTTTAATTTGATTTGATCGACTTAGGAGTTGACATAAGAGTACCAATCTTTGGTTCTAAATTGTGCAGTAGGGTAGAATGATGAGATAGTATAATGCTATAATGTTGAACCTCCCCTTCCTCTTTTACCACCACCACCATCACCACTACCAGCCTGTATTCATTGCATATGTATATGCTCATTTTATTAGATTGTATTTTTTCATTCCTTGTAGCTGTATACCATCTGTACTCATTACACCTCCCTGCTCATTTTGTGAGATATTCTAGCTTGCGAATACATTTCTCGATCACACTTGTGTGCTCGAATTACATACATGTTTGAGCAGTATGTAGTTTAACCTCTCAAACAAGACTGCTAATGCTGTTTTGGGAATGAAGGGGAAACAGTGGTGCACTTGCTTGCACTGAGAACCATATGTGCTGATGCATAAGACACACCTACCCTTATGATGCACCCGTATTTTTCAAGAATATTGTGTGGAGAAAACAATTTTAGCATATTTCACTGTACATTTATCAAAAGTGATTTTAAAGTGCAGGTACCCTATTACCACATTCTTTTGCATAAGCTCTGATATCTTGCTAAAAATTGCTATAAGAGTGCATCCGATACACCTTAAAATACAGTAATGTGTGAAAAGAATGATGACTGGGCTCAGGAAGCACACACGAGGGGGAAAGTCAAAGATAAGTTACATAACCCTTGAATGGCGCCTGGCTATTTAGCATGTGTCACTCACAGGCGCATAACAAAAAAAAAAAAATATATTTTCTTCTAAACCTGTTAATTTGTGTTCACTGATCATGGGAAAATAATAAAAAAATAGTAAGTGGCATATATTGCCCGCTATAGGGCGGGGAAGTCTGGCAAAAAACAGGCGCTGACTCAGCGTGCGTCTCAGGCTGTCTGTTGCTCGCTAGCTGTCAGGCTGGATTTGCCACAAAGAGATAATTACCTAATTATTTCAATGTGTCTGATTGATTTTTCGTAGTTTTTTTGGTGTAATATTATTCAATAGTGTGTAGTGTGATATATTTATATAATAAAATGAGTGAATCATCGCTGTACTAAAAAATATGGTGTGCATATTGTGGATTCACTTATGTTCATCAAACAGTGAACAAATACTTTGTCAGTTATTACACTATAAGCACAGGTTATATATAAGTATCTGCATGTTTTGTTCACCATAACGAACCACTACGTTGCTATTGAGAGTCAAAAAGTAACGAGGAGTGACCGTCACAAACCAGCCAGCCACTCACTCCCTCCCTCAACACCTCACTCGCCCACATTCTCCTCCCACCATACTGTTTTTGCTTTTATTCACTATATACAGACGTTTATATAAGTATCTATATTCGTGTTCACCATAACAAACCACTAAGTTGGCATGCTGAGTGGCAGTGCCAGTGGCAGCCCGCCACTGGCTGCTACTTCCTCCCTCCCTCAAGTCACCTGACTCACCCACATTCTCCTCCCACAATACTGTTTTTGCTTTTATTCACTATATACAGACGCTATATATAAGTATCTACATTTGTGTTCACCATAACGAACCACTAAGTTGGTATGCTGAGTGGCAGTGGCAGCCCGCCATTGGCTGCCACTCCCTGCCTCCCTCACCTCAACTGACTTGCCACCATTCTCCTCCCACCATACTGTTTTTGCTTTTATATACAGACGTTATATATAAGTATTTACATGTTTTGTTCACCATAACTGTACATCTAAGCTTGTATGGTGAGTAAAGGCACAAAGACGTAGCTACTCACACAGTCAGCTGGTGGCTGCCGCCCTCAAGGCCAGGCGCACTAATATATCTCCTCCAACAATACTGTTTGTGGTGTTATTACGCTATATACACACATTATATATAAGTATCTACCTGTTTTATTCACCATACTTGTACAAGTAAACTGGTATGGTGCCCAAAGACCATCGTGGTCACCAGTAAACAACATGATAAGTCGTGCAGACGACGCCACCGCTTTCACCAAAGTGGTGGCTCCCAACCTACTCTTGCTGTTTATACCCTCTTTACACACATTATATATAAGTATCTGCATTTGTGTTAACCATAGCAAACCACTAAGCTGGTATGGTGAGTGCAGTCAATAAAAGGTGGCCACACAGAGTCAGAAGACAACACCACTACCATTCCTCCCACAGCATTACTCCTCCTTCCATGGAGCACAGCGCTAAATATCACCACAATCCTGCTATTATCAGAACCCTGGTCAGTTTTATCACAGTCAGGGGTCTTCTGTAATAATATCATCGCTACATAATAGCATGAACAAGTATATTATGGCATTTTTAGGTGATGCTGTGGTCACAAGCTGAACAGCAGTGCGGTGAGCTCATGCTGCGTGCGTCAGGCTTGGTTGCTCACTCAATACTGAGGCCCCTAACAACCGGGAATTTGGCCCATGATTTAAAAAAAAAAATGGTGTCTGTTTACAAGAGCCCTGATGGTGTGGTGAACCCCATGTATCCGCGGGCCGTTAAATCTTGCGTAGTACTCCAAAGCATCATATGATGCGATGCACAATTTACTGCAAGTCGGTCAAAGCATCATATGATGCAATGCGCAATTTAAGGGTTAAACAGACTTTAGGAGTAAAATGTAGTGAGAGGAAAAAAAAAAGGCAGGCAAGGCATGGGATAGCAGTGTTTATTCAGACGGTAATGTTGGGGCCAAGAAAAATCATGTCAACTTCCAAGTGGCACTACAGCATGAATAGCAATGCAGCAAAAATGACATTGTGGCATGGGTGCCACTGTAGCACAAGTGTCATTGTAGCGTAAATGCCACTGTAGTGTGAGTGTCTTTGTAGAATGAGTGCCACTGTAGCATGTCTCTGTAGCATAAGTGTGTGTGCATTATGTATGGCACTCTAATATGAGTGGCAGCACAGTGTGAGTGGCTTAGCAGCATGAATGGCACTGCAGTGTGAGAATCACGGCAACATGAGTGTAGCCACAGAATCATTATTGAAGGAAAGGTATGTTATATTGCATCATGTAACCTACAATAGTGTTTGCAGAGTATAGCAAATGTTTTGAAGTACAGTATCATATGTGAAGCTTTTCCCAATTATTTTATTGCAGTGTAATAAATGATATTGCAAGGTTAGAGGCAAGTCTAATTGAATGTGTTGAATAATTATAGTTTGTGATACTTTACAGTTTATTGATTTATCAATCATTATATAATATTGTAATTGATAGCAGTAACTCGCTTCAAATTTCATAAGTGCATGAAAGCTGTATATAATGTATTTCAGTATTTATTGATTCAGTACATATCCAAGTCTATTATTATTTTGTCAGGTCTATCAGTGTGTGCCCTATCTGATGCTCACTTTGTTACATAATGATATGCAGTACATTTGTGTGACTAATTAATATGTTTTATGTTTTAGCCCATCCAAGGGGTGTTTCATGCTTTGGTGATCCCTTCAAGAAAGGTATATTAAACCAGTCAAGTGATGTATAACTCTTATATCTGACTACTACTACTATTCTTTCAAGGCTTGAGCAATTCTCAACATGAGTTTCTAATATCCTCTGAACCTTGGTTGATGTAGGTGAACTATAGTAGATTGCTTTACTTTTACTAAATAAATAAATATACATTTAAAATTTTGTGTATAGTGTCAGTTGTAAAATTTTGTTTAGGGTAAATGTGGACATGTGATGTGTGTACTGTGCTGTTTTATGGGGTAGGAGATATGGAGTAGGAGTCTGCTCCTGCTTGTGTCACGTTAACACAACCATGTTTGCTGTTATCCTGCTTTTCTTTCTTAACTTTGCCATCCTTGCTATGTATTCCTATTGGCTCTTGCAGAATTGATCAGGTGTATGAGGTTTCATAAAATGTAGGAGTATGTATGGATATATGCTTGCATGCATATACTATGTGTATTTTAATGGATATGTATGTACAGTATGTATTTCTCTTATATATGTATGAATGTATTGTATATGTGTGTGTGTGTGTGTGTGTGTGTGTGTGTGTGTGTATAGTGTGTGCATCAAGGTCATCTAATGCACAGGTTTTTGTTAATATTTCTGGGAGAGCCTCCTGGTGGCTCCCAGGAGGGAGTTATCTCACTGAGATTGCTCCATCTAATGGGTCACATCAGCTGCAGGAGTTCTGTTTGGCCTACTGGAGACCAGAGCCACAACCTGGCCCCCAGGGTTCATAGAAAACAAAGTCTCAGAACTGCCAAACAACTCCGCAAGTGATTCAGGCAAAGCAAAAGATTCACTCAAAATGAGCTTGAACCCGGTAGTATCAATACAGTACCTGCCACCAGCTGGCTCAACCCCAGCCGACAACTGGCTTCACTGATCAGTTCTGATGTTATGGTGGTTACTTCTATCTGTAATTCTCTGGCCCATCAGTCATGGCAAGCCCCTCTTCCTCAAAAATAAATGCCGGCCATCCCTGGAGTTCGTTCATCCGTTGGGGGCCATTTGCTTGTGTTTTGTTCCTTAATTTTGGTATTAGCTTCAAGTGCATGTTTTTCCTCTGGCTTTGTTGCATGGCCTTGACTTCTGTTGTGCTTCCATGTGCTCAGATTTTCCTGCTCTGGGTGCTCACTAGTGCTTCAATTCCTTGTACTGACAGAACTACTGTACTTCTCTGGTGTGTTTAGGAGTTCTCCCCTGATAGGCCAGGCCACCAGGGTGTAGAGCCTTGCCTTGGGCTGTTCATAAGCCATTGACTCCTCTCTCTTGGACCCCTTGGTTGGGGCATTTTGTTGATTGTGTTGGGGGTGCACTAGGGTTTGTGCACTTTTTAATATGGCATACCATGGTTCCCATTTGTAGCCTAGGAGTTTTGGCTATGGTTGGGGTCTGTTCTTCAGTGAGTGACCCCCAGTGTCTGGGTGTCCTGTTAAGCTGGTTATCTTCAGGCACTGGGGGATCTGTTGCATGGTTTATTATGGCTTGGCCCGTCGACCCCACGCTCACTGTGTGTGAACTTGAGGGATGTTTGTCGTCCCGGCATCATCATTCTCTCTGCTTCCGCCATACTATATAAAGAATAGCACTTAAAAATATATAAGAGAAGGTTTTAAAGTCTATATACTCTGAGGCCATTACTGGAGTATGCATCACTGGAATGGAAGCTGCACCTTGTGAAGCACAAACAGAAACTTTAGAAAATTGAGGTTTTGAACTAGACTACTGTAGTACTATTGTAGTACTGGAATTTAGAGGACACATGAGGATAAGTCAGGGAACCTGACAGCTTTACAGGAGAGAAGAAAAATGGATATAATCACTTATAAAGATACTTAGAGAACTTGACAAGGTAGACAAGGACAGCCTATTTAAATTGAGAAGAGGTAGGATAAAAGCATATCACGTGAAGCTGGATTCACCATCGAGTTGTAAAAATTTAAGAAAATTCTCATCCCCTGCACAGGTGGTTGACAAGTGAAATTTCGTACAGCACATTGAAAGGTGGTGTCAAAGCACTTCTGTTCACAAATTTGAAATAAAATATGAATCAAACTTGAACATCGAGAGATGCCAGTTATGAAAGACTAGAAGGCTGAGCATAAAAGAGCTAGATCTAATTGCCCATAATCACAGATATATAAATAGTTGCTGAAGGTGATTTATGCAAACTAGCTGTATCCATAGAAAAATTCACTACTGACTGTAATTGTTGGTGACTTCCTTATTGGCAATGGGTTTTACATTACCAGCACCTTCAGTAAATGCCACAACTGAAGCTAAAACTTTGTTAACGACTTGGAGAAGTCTTCACATGGTTCATATAAAAATTAAATCATAATGAAACTGGTATTTTCCATCAACTTTGATCCAGAAATGGGAGCACCTTTATTATGGCACTGCTGGAATCACTTGGAAATAATTTGAACATGGTCATGCTACCTAACACTATGTATTAATTGTTGCAATCAATTTCAGGAAAACACAATGAGAGCTTTTCATGCTGCCTCTGTAAATCACGAATGATGGACAAGCCCTTGCCATATTCCTCGCACAGCTTGCTTACCAGTGCAAACACCTTTCATTTTCTTTATCAATTTTAATTTCTTCTAGGAACCCCTGAGTTGATGACTTTTACAATATTCTAAGCAAATTATGTATTGCAGTTTGTACAACTTGCACCAATATAGTCATCAATGGCTACCTCTTATGAGAAGTCATAATAAATGAGTGGATGAGGGGGGAGGAATTGAGAGAACTCTACTTAAATGCTTTGCCTTACACGGCCACCAACTCGCGTGTAATACTGTAAACAATGGTGGACACTCCTGCAAAGCCTGACAGCAAAGTGGAAATCTATACCACCTGTTCTAGATATAATTTTTATTTACTGCATTTTGTTAGTGGAAATTTTTAAATAGTTGAGAATTTTAGAAGTTTCCAGGCTGCTAAAGTCTTGATTTTCTGTGTTCTACTACACTATTAATTGTTAAGATATACACAGACAATCCAGATAAATATGTCAGCATGTTGCAGTTGAGAGCATAATAATCTCAATAGAGTATAGTGTGATGTTGTGTGTGCACTATATATTATACAGCATTATGCCATGTGTTCATTATATACAGTACTGTATAATGTGATGCCATGTGCACACTGTATACAGTACAGTGTAGTGTGTATCCATAGGCACACTATATCCATTATAGTGTGATGCTGTATGCATGCAGTATTCAGTATATATGTTTGGTGTGATTGGTTTGTAATGCATCAATCTCGTCTCATATTTCCCTGTTAGTTACCGGTGTTGAACAACCTTGATAACATTGCCGAGACCTGAATTTCCACATTTTATTATGGGCCATGCTTAAGCAAGATATATAATAATAAATACTGTATGTCCATTAATCAGCACACACTTCTTGCATCTAAAATGTCTTTTAAGATGAATATTTTTTGTTTCTATGATATTTAATTTCCAGCTCTCTACCTTTGTCTTAGATGCTTGTTTGCTTGGGGAATTCCTTTCTTGAGAAATTGGCATGATGAGCACCTTCTTCCTGACATCTCAAATTTCTTCATGTCTTGGATACTTGAAGAAACAATTGAAATGTTTGCTAAAGAATTCTTCTTGCTTGTTTATCATATTAGTGAAGTAGTTACCATTTACTTAAAAAAAAATGTGTGGACAGAAAGCATGTGCAAATTAGATAGTAACAAGGCAGAATAAAACCAGCCTTGAATGTAATGAAACTCCAATTACTGGGTGAGCCCGGTGGCTCCTTGAAGCTACTATACTGATATAGTGCCAGATTACGAGGTGCCATTAGGCGTGGAGTTCTTATTGTCCTACTGGTGACCATGAGCCAGAACCTGATCCCCATTATTCCCTCAGAGAGGCGCAAGGAGCAGTACTGTATATATATACAGTACAGTATATATATCTAAAAACTCCGAGGTTGAATTACTGACCCTACCCAGGATGCAACTCCATAACAAGGTGACTAACTCATAAGTACCTACTTACCACTAGGTGAACAGAGGCATTAGGTGGTAGCCCAACCATTTCTATCCCACCTGGATTCGAACCCAGAATTCTTGATTGCGAGTCGAGAACGAACCCCACTTCCTGTGCCAAAAAAAGTCACACCAGGCCACTGTCAACACACACATCTCTGCTGTGATGGGAATCAGGAGGAACAATAAATGAATTCACAAGAATGTACAGTCAGTAGTGTGTATGCCTGAGGAGTTATGGAGTGTGAGTTTGGTTCAATCATATGACCTCAATATTTACTCGTTCAATATATATTCATTCTGGAAGTCATTTGGGTTAGATTGAGAAATCTCCTGTTTCTCCTCTTCCCATTGTCACATGGTGGAAATGCTGCAACAATTTCCATCACAGAGGGTTTAGTGTCTATAGTAACCTACTGTGACTTGACAAATGCTTATAATTTTTTAGGTAGACCCAGTCCAGGTTAGTGAAAAATATGAGGGTTTGCCAAACAAAAATTTAATAAAATAAATATAAATACAAAATTGAGTATCCATTAATATTTGGTCATATTAAATTTATTGATGATAATTATTACAATTTAATTTAAATTTGTTGCATTTTCTTATGATTTCTACCTTTAATGCTCATTTACTGCATCATTATGGAAAGATTGTATGTGCCTGCAACCAGTGAACACAATATTACCATCAGCATTAAAAAATATATAATAAATTAAAACATACAAGTTTAATGTTAGCGCAATTTTTACAAATACAGTACAGTATTATAATCTCTGAAAAAAAATAAGAGGACAGTGCAGTACTTTTTCAGACATGTGGCATAATAATTGGATGATAATCACTGAAACATGAAAGTAAAATCCTCATTGCAGCAAGTGTATTCCTAAAGCTTTGGTGCTCGCTGGCGCCTCTCTTCAGTTGAAGCAAGATCAATTGAAGAGGATGCTGTTGAACACTGGCATTTTTTAGAACTAGATTTTGTATTAATAATTAAGATTTTGTGTACACTAAAAATGCTGTACTGTGCAAAGAAAATGAACATGTTTTGAATTCATTTTCATCTGTGTGAACTTGATCAGCTCATTTAAGGTCACTAAACAAAACATCACCAAGAAAACTTTGGCTTGATAAGTGTCAGTTTTACTCATTTGCCTAATGTTTTCATATACTGTACATGATTCATGCAGCATCATTTTTATATTGTTGCAGACAATGCTTGGTGCGAGCCAAGACGTTGTGACTACACTGGCCTTTACTACTGTCCTGCCTGCCACTGGAACTCTAGACTGGTAATGCCTTCACGAGTTGTACACAATTGGGATTTTGAAGAACGTGTTGTGAGCAGGCAAGCCAAACAGTTCCTCTTGTTGATGAAGAATAGGCCAGTGCTTCATTTAGAGAAACTCAATTCTCACCTCTTCAAATTTGTTGAGGAACTCAGCACAGTGAAGGTAAGAATTTTGGTGAAGTAATTTCAAGCAATGATTAAACCTAAACCTCCAATGATTAAGGAGCCGGTCGGCCGAGCGGACAGCACGCTGGACTTGTGATCCTGTGGTCGGACCCCGGGCGCCGGCGAGAAACAATGGGCAGAGTTTCTTTCATCCTATGCCCCTGTTACCTAGCAGTAAAATAGGTACCTGGGTGTTAGTCAGCTGTCACGGGCTGCTTCCTGAGGGTGGAGGCCTGGTCGAGGACCGGACCGCAGGGACACTAAAGCCCCGAAATCCTGTCAAGATAACCTTTGTAGTGATAATCTGTTTTCTGCAGTTGTCAGTGTATGATCAACTCCATTGGGTCCAGGTAGTACAGTCGGGTTTGTTCTTGACGCTCAATCAAGAATTCCGGGTTCAAATCCCGGGGGAGGACAAAAATGGTTGGGTACATTTTCTTTCACCTAGTGCCTCTGTTCACCTAGCAGTGAGTAGGTACTGAGGATTTAGTCAGCTTGTTGAGGGGTTGCATTCTGGGTGGGATCAGTAATCCAGTTTTTTTTTGGGGGGGGGGGGGGAGGCACCTCGGTATAAGTCTACCATATATGAATACACTCTGGCTTCCTGTCCCCCGACACAAGGAATTATAAAATAGTATGTATGTAAGGGAATGTTTCTGCACTGTTTGAACTTGCTTCATTACAAGGCTCACACAAGATTGCCAGAAGCCCTCAGTTACTGTACTAGTCATCCCAGGAACTGGTTCTGAGCAATTGTTGTTGGAACTGGATGTTCTGGCTGTGGCTTTTTCATTGGCCTTATTAGCTAATTCTTCCGCTAAGACATTGTCCAAGTTGTCTGTGCTTCTTGTGTGGAATGCTCTCTTCCCCTGAAACATCAGTTCTACTAGTGGCATTACTCTGTTTTCACTTGTGCTTACTAATTGTGGTTATGCCAGTGATAGTGTTGTCTTGGCATTTCATTTCATTCTGACTAAGGTTAATGTTACCTTACTTAGGGGTTGGCTTGCATTTCTCTATACCTTAGAATAAATACCTGCTCTGAAGGGTTGTGGGCTTCCTCTTCTACAAACTGACTTATCAAGTTACCACACCTCCAGGCCATGCATGAGATTTGTTCTCCTCTGTGGGTCTTGTTGATGGATGAAGACAGTCTTCAGGTTGTGTGCATGCTTGACTCTGCTCCTGGTGTGGGATTGATGGGGCTTTGCACTTGGGCTGCATGATTGATTTCTTGTGATTTTTGGCTGCTTATGCCTTCCCCTCACCAAGTGGTCTAGGTCAAGAATCGGTGTCTGTTTTGCTGAGCCACTTGCCCTGCACTTGATATGCCTGCCTGTCTATGTGACTGTCTGAATAGCCTATGTCCCTCATCCCTGTGGGGTTTCTTTGTCATATATATGATATTGCTAGATTGTTATAGATTCTCCATCTGATTCTTCACCTGACATTGCAGCTTGCTGTTTCTCAGAACCTCAATAGTCATTCCCATTGTCTCCAATATTTAGCTTGTTGGGTTCAGTTGTCCTTTCACTCTCAGGTGTGGTTTTTGACAGCACTGGACTTCTATTTTGGCCATTCTGCCTTCTTTACCAGCTACCTACTAGACTGCAGCTGCCTTGTGGAACTGGACTTTTTAATACTATATAGGCTCCTTAACTATTCATTATATATACATTCCTTAATTATAAAGAATGCTGTGTAGACTAATCCCTCATTTTATGGAGAGATTTTTGAGCAACTTGTCCTGAGTACTTGTGCTAAGTATACATAGGCTTCTGCCACTTCTGGCTCAAGCGAACAATTCGGCTGTCTTCAGTTTGCTTAGCATCTTGGTCCCCTTTGTTTAGACTTTTAAACAGTTTTTACCGATAACCTAATTCTTTCTGTATTTTTATAGTATACATTATTATGAGGTCGAGGTTTTGGGGTTCAATTATGTGTACTTCATTACACCCATACATCATTACATCATTTGTCCATTTCGAAAAACTTGATGGATCAAAGTTGAAATGATTTTTATATAGGTTATCAGCAACAAAAAGCCGATTCATGTCACTAAGCTTGTCCTTTTTGAAGAAAATTTATATTCTTTAGAAAGAAACAATGGAGTTAGGAACTGCTGTAAGATTATTGAGAGCCTTGAATACATACCTATGTATTACAGATATATACATACCTATGTATTACAGCAACCCGTTCTCGCAAATTTAATAAGTCAATATTGACTTATTAGTTGCGTGCATAGGTGACATACTAAACATAATAGTTTCCCTTGAAAAGCTTCATAGAAAACACCGACCTTACCAAACCTACTTAGTATGTTAAAATAAGCATCTTATAGCTTCGTAATTACAATTGTTACTTAACCTATTATAGGTATAGGTTAGGTAATAATTGTAATTACGAAGCAATAAGATGCTTATCTTAACATACTAAGTAGGTTAGGTAAGGTCGGTGTTTTCTATGAAGCTTATCAAGGGAAACTATTATGTTAAGTATGTCACCTATGCACATATTTAATAAGTCAATATTGACTTATTAAATTTGCGAGAACGGGTTGATTACAGATACCTATGTATCTATGTAATACAGATATGCTGCTGGCAATGAAAGAGGAGAAAATGTCAGTTTGACAATGACAAAACAGTTGAAACTACTAGTATTTTGTCTTGTAGTGACAAATTTCTTATAGATTCCTGTCTTCCATTTATTGGCAGTCTGTATGTTGCACTGACAAATTGATGCCTATGCATACTGAATATCTTTTGAGTTCTTAATGTACTGAACTACATTAGGAACCTAATGTATTAACATCGCTATAACTATGAAATACCGAGTAATACATCACTCACTATGTATTAACATCACTTTAACATCACTATAACTGTCTGAGTGTAGTTACAGGATGAGACCTACGCTCATGGTGTTCCATCTTCTCAGCACTCTTTGTTACATGATGCTTTGAAAGTACAGTACTGACATCTTTGGCATCCACCATCTTCTCACTTAACGTGTTCTAACTGTCTACTACCCTGGTTTTTTTGTTTGGCAGCTTTGTTTCCACAGCTTAAATCTGTGATCTCTTGTTCTTGAAGTTCCAGGTTTCAAATTGTTTTTTATCAAGTTTCTCAATTCGCATTACTATTTTGTGCGTAATATGTGCCAGTACAAACAAATCCAAGAGAAGGCCAGAATACAGATGAAATGTGCAATTGATTTGGAGGTGATTCAACCTCAATCTAAAATGATTCCACTTTTACCATTTTGTTGAACAAGGGCAGGAGAGTGTGAAATAAAACCTTTTCAGAATTTATGCATTAGTTTTAACATAATTTAACCTCAAATTTCAACAATGTAGAAGCAGCCATGTGATTGAATATAATCACATTGTGAGGAATGATTACAAATTCCTTATATGAAGAAGCTTTCTCAATACTAAAACTTATTGAAAATGAAAGGCAGGGGAAGTATGTCGCTGGAGAGAGTATATTATTTGTTGTTTAACTGTTCATAAGCTATTTCTGTACAGTACAGACAAATATTTGGATGTCTTGGTATCTTTTTTTTATTTAATTTAGGACATGAAAGTGAACATTTGTTATGAAAAGTTTAATTTGTTCTATATATTATGTGGCTAAAATTTAAATTTGATATACTGTATTATATTATTTAATTTTATTTATGAAATGGGGTTTGGAAATTTTAAGACCCATTAACATTCATCCAAGGCTTCATAAGTATGTCAACTTATCCTACTTAATGTATTTGAAACTTAAAGCTTAACAATGCCTCTCCTTCAGAAACTGCGGGAAGATCTTCTCATTATGAAGCAGTACTTGGGCACCTGTCGTACTGCCCAGGAGTCACGAATGTTGAGGCAGCTGGAAGAGAGGCAACACTTCGTGGAGAATGCTCATATGTACTCTTTGCAAGATTTAGTAGATGTTAACTCTGGAGTGCTGGTGGAATACCTTAAAAAGGTTCATAGCAGCTTCTCGTCTCATATCAAGAAAGAGTGTTTGGTAAGTATTTTTGTTTCACATTAGTACTATTCTAATTGAATATTTATAATAGTACTGTAGTTTTAAATATAATAGTATAAAAAAACTGTTTTCAGACAGGTCTTTTTCACAGTTTGACCCAACTTGAAAAGTTGGTTGAAACTGTCGCTCAGCCTTCAAAATACACCAACACTTTTGCTGTTTAAATAAACAAACAACACTTTGATATCACACTACAATCAGAGTATCTAAATGTAACAGATTCCCAAGGATCTGTGAAGAAATACACATACCGATATATTTATGTGCATGTGGAGATTTACAATCTCGTTGTGTTCTTAAACATGCACTGCGCACCTGGTTTCGGCAAAAACTTCTTGGGGCAATTGTCAAGGACATATTCTTGTTGTTTACATAAATATTCAGGTAAATTTAATGTCAAAATGTTTCCAAACTCAACTATTTTCATTTAAAAACACAAAGAGTAATGAAAACATTAAAAATCATTAAAGTATAGCCTAATTAAAAAAAAAATAGCACAACTCTCAGAGTGCCTAAAGGCACTTTGCGCAGTGCAGGGGTTAAACATGCACCACATTGTCAGAACTGCATTGTCTTACTTAAAGTTGCACACCTTGAATGATGTCCTGATTTTCGGGATGATCAGAAATTTTGCTTTCCCATTGTCCCTTTAAACCACTGATCCCTTAATAAAATCCTTGGTGAATCTTATACCTTTAACATCACTTGTCTTATGTCTTGTATTCTTGTATGAGCGAATCCACAAGGGCCGTGAAGAGGGTTTGAACTTACGCTCTAGGTCGAACCCACATCACGGCCCTTGTGGATTTGTTCATTTGATATATCATGCTATTGTGATTTCTGTGTATATTCTTCTATTATATATCTTCATTTTTGTATTGATATCCTGAATAATTATTTTACTCTTCTGTGCCATATATAGTGCTAAATACGGAAGTCTTCTAGGATTAGCTCCTTTTGATAATGACTTATTGTAGTCTCATAAAATTAAACAAACCACACTGTTCTGTAACATTTATATTATTTAACCTATAATCTTGTTAAAGCAGTACATATTCTATTTTATTAGGATAAAACATTACAATATTCATAATAAAATCGTTAATGTTTGCATCACCTGGTGTTGCTGTTACTTGAGTAACTTGAGGACAACACTGGTTGGGTGTCTGTGCAGAGAGCCTTGCCCTGACACTTGACACTTGCTTTGACACTTGATGGGTGTCTGCACAGTATGTCTTGCTCTTAGCTCGGGGTACGACAATAATCTTAGCAGCAAGCTTCTTTTTCTTGGCAATAGTACACTGTACTATTTCATATTATGATATTATTTGACAGATGAATTATATACCTTAATTTGATGTAAAGGTTACATATTATCTGTTATTACTCATTTGTGCTTTAAGGTATGTTATCAGTAATAAAGTAAACTACATGTATATTCATGACTAAAATCTATCAATCATTCTATCAGTGAGGAATATTATTAGTTCTCAATTCAAAGATTCCAATACTTTTATTAGTGAGGTAAAGATACTTTTTTATATTATAATACTGTATTAAGATCAAATAATCTTACCTCATCAATATTTAATGTACACACACATTGCGTTGTTCTTCAGGTTTGCCAGGGAAAGGGATATATCTGTGAAATATGTGATGCCAGTGAGATCATCTTTCCCTTTGATGGGGGTGTCATTGTGTGCACTGTGTGCTCGGCCACCCTTCACCACCTGTGTTACACCTCCCGCAGCTCCAGGTGCCCCAGGTGTGCACGCCAGGAAGCCAGACGCAAACATGACTTGACGGATGAATAGTATGTATGCGAGAAGTGCTGTGATGTGTTTGTGGTATACATTTCCACAGATGGTATATATGATTTATTAAATTTAAGCTCTGTTACTTATTTCAGATACTTAATGATTGATTTGATAACAAATTCAGGTATCAAAACTCCCATTAAGTAGTAAATATAGCTTTAAATTATATTATGCATATAATTAGTGTATGTGTAGTACAAATATTTGCAAGTGCGTTGTCCCTAATAATGAATAATTTAATAGTTTTTTGGATTTGGCCTTAATACACATATCATCTTTGACTACTCTGTGTATCACAGAGAAATCTGAAACTCCTAGAGTTGAAGGTGGGAGTTTGGAAGGCCAAGAATCATTGCAGTCAATATTTGGAAGCAGCATCTTCTTCCAGTGTAACTTTGTGCTTTGGATATGTTGTGCTGATGAAAACAGATTGTTGGTAATCGATCTGGTTATTTGGGAGTAGCTTGATAAAGATTCTTTATATTTGAACTTTTTATGAAACTAGCGTCCTTTGAGAAACTATATTTTGTTAATTACCTCTACATTTTGTACACTAGATGCCATAAAATAACTTTTGTAAGGAATAATTTATGCAAATGCTCATGCAGAAATTACAGTGTTCTTGTTAGCTTGATGTGTAGAACTTTAACTTGCTTGTAACCTCATTCATATTGATTCATCTTGATGGTGTAATCATTGATAACTTTTGTTTATATATGGTATGGTGTGTCAAGCATTATACCTCACCTTTTTAATTTGCTTTTATACAAAACTTTAAAACATGTAAAACATATATAGAAAATACTAATGCTGCTTCCTGTGAAGTTGTAAGTTGTTGGAGACATGGGTTCACCAGCCATGCAATATTGCTAGAGCCCTTGTTGGGAAAAGAATTCTGTATATTGTAGCTGTTTTAGCTGTATTTGATTTAAGTATGTTTTCTTGTAATAATGGCTTCAGCAATCAGACCATTCTACAGATTTAGCCGTTGTGAGAAGAATGCAATACAGTACAGTACTTGCTGTTGTATATTCAACAAGATAGCATAAAAGCTCAAAATAACTGAGCAAGTAGATAAATAAATAGACCCAATTTATTATCTCATGATAAAACTAAAAGCACCTTGCACACTGAACTCTCGGTAATATATCAGTATTTGCCATACATAATAAAGGAATGTATTTTGGATTATTAACTATAATACAAATGATTATTTCTTCTTTACTGAAATTCTTTGGAGCCATATTAAACCTCATTTAATTTTACTGTTCAAAATTAGTGTTACACAATTTTTTTCCTTAATATAATGGATACCGTAAAAGAATGTTTATTTATTATTAAGTAAATTGCTGCATGCAAGAAACGTGTGAATTTTAAGACACTGCCTTAGGCTAAAGCTTAAATCTTAAAGGAACATTTACTGTTACAGTATAGATATAATATTGTACAGAGCCATGTTTCAGTCAAAATAACTTATGGTTTGTGTTACCAATACACCATAACATTGCATAATTTATTAATCTGTATTTGTGATACTGTACCTTATTCTTTTTTAGGACTTGGATTATGAACGCAGTTAGTTTATCTCCCCAACATTTAGGATTTGTTTTTTTAAATATGATGCTTTCTAAATGAATTAATATTTCAGTGTGTGTGTGTGTGTGTGTGAAGGAAAGGAGAAGCAATGTAAGATGATATCTGAATCTAGGGTGGTGCTTGGGTTGTGTAATCTTGGTGAATATATTAGGTTGTTATATAGATACTGATATGTACAAATTTAAACAATTTAATCTTGTCAAGAAAGTTGATAATTTTTTGTTTTTGGAAAAGATTTGTTCTTTTTTTCACTTGTGGGCTGTTACATGTATTTTTAAGCAAGTTTTGTAGGTTTAATAGCATGTTGCAATATAGGAAGAAAGCATAAATATGGGTTTAATGCACTAATTTCAAAGTTAAACCGGGAGGTATCCTATGTTTTATATAGTTTTACCTTGAGGCTAAATGAATGTGGCCAAATTTAGTATTTCATCAATATCCACATCAAGAAAAGAATTAAAGGCACTTAATTATCCAGTATACCCCATTAGTCATTAAGTTGTTCAATAAAAAGGTGCTCCAACATTAGTGTCATGTCATACATCATGATTTAGCTTAATGTTTTATGTTTTAGCTAGGTATCCCGATTAGGAAAATGCCTCATGGTGGTATTCTCATTATTGTTATTATTATATTTTGGTATGTACATATCAACTTGAATCATTACTTTTACATCTTTGAGAATGTATGTCTGTCCAAAGTTAAGAGAACAGATGCTTGGGGCTAGCCTCGCCTAACTGTGCAGGATGACTGGTGAGGGGTTGGTTACCATTATGGGTGGGTTGGGACTGCCCCCTTTGATATTATTAAAAGAAGGTTTGCACCTATGGGGAATCCCCATGAAATTGGTGCAAGGTGGTTAGCCAAGTCCCTGGAATTTCATTACCTTCAGCTGCCTTGGAATATATTCATACTGTATGTATAAAGCAAGGACTATCACAGGTGGGTCAGGGTTGGCACACATGGCAGAATCTTTGAATTCCCTGATTAACCTAGGCTCTCAGCATGTAAATGTCACAACCTTTTTTGGGGATTGCCCTGGACACTGCTGGGTACCTCATATACTATACTTACACACAGTGGGAAAAAGGAAATTTTCCTCTTGAAAGTGGCAGTGTAATCCTCAGGTGGACTGTTTTTAGAACTAGTCTAATGCTTAAAGTGCAGTTATCATCATACATTTATCCCTACGGCAATGTGGTTATCATATGTTGATTTCAGTTATCACCACCCAGTTTTACATAAATGATGTAAATATGGTTATGATATACAGTATCTATATGAATGTAATGAAGTTCACCTAGAGTCATTAAAAATCTGCTATCATTTTGAATTGCTTATTATAGATGAGATTATCTTGTACCACAAGCAACACAATTATAATCAAATCACAATTTGGCATTTCTCGCAAGTGTTTGAATCTGTTTCTGGATGTTATTACTAAACAATAGCAACAAAGAAGTGAGTTACAAGACACTTTCTTTTATCTGTACAAAGAACAGATTTACGTGCAATTTTGGTGTACTTATCACTGTACATTATAGGCCTATACTGTATACTCAGTCACTGCTTTTTGTCTATTATGTGTAAATGAACTGACTTATTCTACGCATTGTGTAAACTACAGTGAAACAACAAACACACAAACCCCTTGACATGATCATGGCAACTCGCTTCTTGATTTGGCTTGTCAGCAAATTTACATCGCAACAGCCCAGGGAACCGAATGTCCCCAACTTGGCAATCTCTCCGTGTGCACGAAACACAAAAAGACAGATATATATTTTATTTTTTACATGGAAATGTATAATTTTATAAGATTTTTTTGTTAATTTTTTTTATTTTATGGACACTTTGAGTGTTAAAAGTATCATCAAGGGGTATAACATTGAGTGATGGCATAATATGAAGTAAGTACATCAGCACCAATATTGAAGAGTAGAATTTATAATATTGTGTTTGGAATAAATGAACACTCAACCTTCACATCAAAGATGTAAATATTATGTTTTGGTACCTCTTAAACAATTAGGAATATAAAAATGAGAAAGCACAATGGCAGATCTGTTTGCCAGGTCATTTTCAGGGTAAAGTGATTCTAATGATCAGCCAGCCACCCCGGTTAAACACCTTGAACAGCTATCTAGATATTTGTGATAGTCTGACAGCATATTACAGTTCCATTAATTAATACTTATAAACTGGCAAGTGAACCTTTGTCCTAAACAGAGAATATTCTCAAGTTATATCTTTATTGTATTATAAATCATTGGTTTAAAATATAAAGTCTATGCTTAACTTGTTTTCTTTGAAACATTCTGAAGAATTTGGTTTTCTGTTAAATGAGATTCTACGGGATATTCAAATAGTTTTAAAATTTCATATTTCACATTTGATGATAATACACACCATATTAACGTAACCAAACCTAACTTTAATCTCACCAATCATAAATAGGGAGTAGATAATAGCATTAATTACATAGTAGTCTTGAAGTGATTACTTCCAGGGTACCTCCTTCCTGAGGACTGGTTACTGTTAGCTCAAGTTAGATAGGTCCCATTTAAATCCCTCTCGCCTATACTTATATTTATCCAATCTATATTTGAAATCTGTTAAACTGTCTCAATAATACTAATTGGTAATCCATCATTCATTCCCCCTAACCCACTTGAAAACCTTGATCATATCCAACTCTGCATCTTGAATCTCTACTGCAAGTGCAGATAAAGATTCTTGTCTGTCTTCATAGGATAGGTCACTGATACTAGGTATCTGCCTTGCCATTCTTCTCTGTACTTTTGGCCAGATATTTGGGTTCATCAGTTCTGTTATTCTGATATGGTTTATAATATCTTGATAATTGGTTAATGTTCCAGGCAGCAACGAGCATGCATGGCATTAGGTTGCCTGCCCCAGTGCTGACTGGCAATTTCTTCGGGGCTACTTACTTACTTGTCAGGAAGCCACTGAAGGGAGCCCTCCAAGAAATCTGGTGTTGAATATAATGAAATGCCTCTTTCTTGAGAGTCCGTCAGTGTCTCCTTATTCCCACCCATCCCTTCTTTCCATATTGTTCGAGGGTTGTTGCTTTGATAGTGCATGAATGACTTGGTGGGGTAGCTTGGTGAGTTAGCAAGGGACCAACGAAACACAATCTTTTCATTACTCTTAATGCTGGATTTTTCCATCTATGGGTGTGTGATATTTGTTGTTGCTGGATGTGTCTGTTGGGGGAGCTGCTCTCCAGTGTGACAGCTTATCGGGTTGCTGCTACCCACCATGCACATCTTACAGTACTTGATTTCACAGTCATCAACTGTTGACAGTTCTGTTGGAGGAGAGCCTCTTTTCTTTTATGAGGAGAATTTTCAGGATTTGATAATGCAAACTTTAAATAAATCTGGACCTTTCCCTGTTTTCCCATCTAGGACTGCAGTATTGACTGTTTGGCCAGCATCTACTCATGCTTCATCCTTGTGTCTCTACCTCTTGGCAAGGGCTTCTAAATTCATTGGGATCTAAAATCCTGTACCGGCATGAACATTGTCATACTGATGTCACATACTGTACTTTGTACACACCATACACAGTATATATAAGAAAGATCTCTTGCTTTTGTTAGGATAAGTTAGGTTAGGATGGTTTGGGTTATGTTAGAGATGTTTAAAAAGAGTACCAATGATGTAAGGGGTATACTGTATATACTTTACTCAGGTCTTAGACCCTACTCTATAAATAGCCTCAGCTTGAGGACTTGTCAATTTCTCAAGTATTAGTGCAGGATCCTTTCAGTTTGAGTAAGGATCCCTTGGTGAATGTGACAGTGTTGTTTGACCTCAGTCTCTTCTCCAGGGTTTAGTCCGTGTGTTTGTGGGACAATTTAGGGCCATGCCTTTTGGGGGATTAAGGGTCACAAATGATAATGAAATACTGTACTGTACTGAGGTTTCCCTGATTTTGTTTGATAGTGTTATAAGGGTTTAATGGTTGCATATTTCAAAAACTTCCCTCTAATTTTGTTTTCATTTCTGATGAGTTTAGTCCTTAAAGTTTGTGGTGTTGCTTCAGGTTTTGTGTGACACAAGCATTGCCAATGTTGACACTACTCAATATTTCTTGCATCCAAGTTTCTAGAGCTTCTTCATCGTGTACTTTGTATATGATTACTTCAAGGTACAGTCTATACATCTGCTTTGGTCGACTTGTTGCTGTTCTTCTAACCTGGGTCCAAAATGTAATTTTAAATAAAAGTCTTGGTGCAAAACATCACATTTAATAAAATCTACTTTGAGGTTTTCTACATTGATTAATGTTTACATAGTAACAAGAAATTAAAAAGCCTGTGATATTTTATAAATACAGTACTGGAAATATGAAAGGTTTATATATAAATGCATTATCAACATTGCATTTGATGTTGAACATTACTTATTTCAAGTGCAGCTCTTAAATTCTTAAATACTGTAGAGTATTGGCATTATTTGTAGAATTTTTTTTTCTTACTGCAATTCTGTAATAAAATGCAAAACTAACCTTGTGCAAAATGTTAACAATACAGATGTGAACATTTTAAATTTTAATAAGCAATTATTTTGTTCCTAATTCCATAAAATATCTTGTAATTTAGTTTCTCATTAATGTGACAGGTTTTGAATGTGACATATTTTATTATATCTTTTATTTTGCATATGAAAATGATAATGCTAATAACTTTGATAACTTTAAATATCATTGTAATCTTTCTGATAAAATTAGCAGAATTTATGTAAGTTTTATTCATCCAGAGAACCTATAATAAGGCATGCTTGTACTGTATTGCATACAGTATCAGTGGAAATTAATATTTAAGTGACTTTAGATAATTCATTTAATGTTTTTCATTCATAAAAAAAGATTGTGCACTGCAATTCCTGAACATCTGGTACCCTTGTGCTCTGCTCATACCTCTAATTACAAGGTATGGGTTTCCTTTCTGGGAGAGATTTCCTAGTAGTGCCTCAAACTAAGCCATGGTACCACCAAGTCTTAGTCGAACACACTAGACCTCTGAGACCCATCCATCATCCAGATGATTGTTTATCAGGAGCCATGATCAGAATTTGCCTCTCTAAGGGGAGCTTGGGGATTAGAGATCACTTGTTCATCACATTCTTATTGTCACCTGTTCATCACACTACCTCACCATTACTTGTGTACCACGGATAGTATTACAAAGAGTAAGTTGTTTACTGGGGCCTCAGTTATATACCATCTACAGGGTGTATAATTATGAGTTTAGACAGGATTGAACACCAACATGTGCAAATTTGCAAGTGATACAAACATATGGCTGGAGAGTCAGACAAAATTGCTCCAAGAAGCTTTAGATTACTTTTAAAGTGAGTGAAAGAGTAGCAGATACAGTTCAATGCTGAGAAATGAAGACTTCTATGCCTATAGGCATAGAAGTAATCAAATTATCAAAATGCCGCTGATCATAGAAATGATCAGTGGCATTTATTAAGAAGCATGGTGCCAAATTATGATAAAAAACAGGGCAAGGTTCGTAGTATCTGATTTTGGAGGGAATGCCTAATGTTTTAAAAACTTTTTTAGTGTATATTCAGTATGTTAATTCAGTTTGTTGTCTATGTGAACACCAATGAAGTTTCCATCTACTATACTCATAATTTGGATATTGCTAATTCTGCGGTTAATTTGATTATTGGACGTGTTACCAAACAATATGTAACACATTTTATCGATGTTATTAAGGGTAAGTTTGTTAGCAGTCAGGTTATCTTGAGGTTATCTTGAGTTGATTTCTGGGCTTTAGTGTCCCTGTGGCCAGGTCCTCGACCAGGCCTCCACCCCCCCCCCCCCCCCAGGAAGCAGCCTGTGACAGCTGACTAACTCCCAGATTCCTATTTACTGCTAGGTAACAGGGGCATAGGGTGAAAGAAACTCTGTCCATCGTTTCTCGCCGGCGCCCGGGATCGAACCCGGGACCACAGGATCACGTGTCCAGTGTGCTGTCCACTCGGCCACAAATGGAATTAATTTAGTTTAATATTCACCATTTCATTTATATTTATAAAAAAATAAGTGGGTTAGCATGGGAGAAAATGAAGGCTTAATTTTTTTTTAAATTCTAATGAAGGCTGTTTCATCAACAAATAGAATTAGCTTTAAGTGTCGAGTGGCATTCTGAATATATTGTACATTATCGTATACAATTAATATACACATGTTATAATTAGAATGAGAGCTAGTGATAATGCATGGTTCGTTTGCATGATTAGGTGAGAGCCGGCATCATCCGACAGGTGGCAGGGGACGCCGTTGCTAGGTAACGCCACCATAACACTGCTCGTACGCCCGCCGCCGCCGCCTCACCCCTCCACGTCTGTTTAAATGTCATCATTCCCTTCACGGCTCTAATTCGATCGCCCTTAATAATGACAGGACACAATAGTCCTCGGGGGAGTAACAGCTTGTGACTAGTGTGTGTAGGCTAGTTTGGAAGTCCGTGAAGGCAGCAGTGAGAAACTGGCAGGACTGCAATTAATAGTGATACTGTATACATAAGATTGTATTTATAAGATATACAAAGGATTAGCCAATAGTGGTTATTTAGTAAGCACACCAACTATTTGTGTGTTTTATAATGCCACTGATTACGCGCAGCGTTTCGGCCATGATTTAAAGAATATAATGAGTGCATTTAGGGTAATTTACAAATACACGTATACGGTATCCAGATAAGATATATTGTTTCTTTTTCTAGTTTAATATTCACTTGCATATAATAAGCCTAGTTACAGGTATATTTGAGCGTAAGTTACGTAATGACTTAGCAACATAACAGTGTGTAAATGTTCCCCTCACCTGGCAGCGGCCCGCGTACGATGCTTAATTGTTTCTTCCGCCTTCATCTTTTTTCATATCCAGCATTTAAGCATCCACAAAAAAATCTTATAAATATTTCTCATGTCGCACGTGGCACATAATTTACAGCTAATAATTCAAGTTCACGAACACATTGATTTGTGTTAAGGTTAGTTATGCGTACTAGTGACTTTAGGTATTGTATAAACTACCTCTATCTTTAAATCTAACAGAATGTTTGTACTGTAACGCTGCAGCTATAATATGTACTGTTACTAAATAAATTATTATTATTATTATTATTATTATTATTATTATTATTATTATTATTATTATTATTATTATAGTTGTGCAGTACGAGAGGTTGGGCAGTCACTCACCCCCGAGGGTGGGAGGGGAGGCGGACCATGTGGAAGTTCACCTGTGTGTCTGACGCCACGGTGGACGCCGCACCTTGTCCTCGCTCCCCTCACACACACACACTACCTTTCACCCAACCCTATCATCATAATCATTACCACAGTCCTTGTTATGTGTTACAACCGTCCTTAATTAAACCTTCAAAACACTTATCCCGGTCGCTTTATAGGATGTTTTATAACCTGCGAATATAGTGACGTTATATATATACAGTAAAGTGTGTATATATATACATCTCCAAGCTGGAAAAATAATTTGTGCATGATTCGAGAAATATATTGTGTGAAACGTAAAGGAAAAGTGTTTTAACCCCAGAGACACTGAACACAGGTCTTGAAGCTGGCATCTGACCTCGCCATGAGCTGACCCAGGACCAGCAACCATGTATACGCACGCAACAAAGCGCATCTATGGTGCAAATAATTAATAAGTGAGGCAGGCGGCGGAGATGAGAGACACGCCAGTGTTGTGAGGACAGATGAGGATATTTGATGGTGAGTGATGAGTAATGAGGAGCAAGATGGTGCTGTGTGGGCGGCGGTGGGCGGTGCTGCTGCTGCTCCTGAGCCTGGCTTCCACCCACGCTCACATACCAGGTAATTAACAATCTTTATGTAGTTCCTATGTATCCATTATTATCTGTACTATATAATATATATAGATATACTCTATATATAAATATGTATATAAGTTTAGCCACTTTAGCGAGTGATCGACAGGAAGTTTAGTGAGAGATCGACAGGAAGTTTAGTGAGAGATCGACAGGAAGTTTAGTGAGAGATCGACAGGAAGTTTAGTGAGAGATCGACAGGAAGTTTAGTGAGAGATCGACAGGAAGTTTAGTGAGAGATCGACAGGAAGTTTAGTGAGAGATCGACAGGAAGTTTAGTGAGAGATCGACAGGTAGACTAGCAATTGATCGACCGGAAGCTTAGCGAGTAATCCCATGGTTAGGTCACTAACACCGATCTCAAGATTGATCCTTGGGGGATTTTTTGCTGGTTAGCGTGTGCCAATGCGGTTTATTCTCCTCTATCACTGGCTCTGTGCCTTCTGTCTCTTAGGTACTCTATTATTTATGTTTATTTCTGAAGTATGTATAATAGTTTATTAAGTATATGAGGTGCTATGTGGAAGGATATTTAGCAGTGTGGACAGATATGCAATCTGTCCATCCTTCTCTATCGTATTTTATTGTTGTCAGGTTCTCGTAAACTCCAATAGATTTGTCAGGCATGATTTATCTTCCTTAAAAACGCATCTATGCTTGTTTACAAACCTAACTTTAACTAGATGTTCCAATGGGCTTTTCCTTATTATTCTTTTCAGTACTTTGCAGGGCACACGTGTCATTAATACCAGTTTGTAATTCAGTTCTTTGTGCCTGTCCCCCCTTATTTTAGGCTAGAATGGGTATATGACTTCACCCGGGTCTCTCCCCCCCTCCCTCTTTCACCCTCTTACACCCCCCCCCCCTCAACCGGCATCCCTCTCGTCCCCCTCCCCTTGGTCTCTGTCATCTCTTCCCTCACCCCTTCCTCTTTTATATAGTGTCATTAATGTACATTTACAAAGGTGAAATGCCTCTTTCCCCCCCCTCCCATGGAAATTTATTATTATGAAGCACTGAAAATGATTAGCAGATCTATGGGAAACAATCAATATTTCAGATTTGATATCATGAAAATCGCATGATAGCGTGGGGGGGGGTCTCCATAAATGTCAATATTTCTTTAAGGATTGCACTTGGGCCGACCCCGACTGACCTATGACACTCTCTTACCTCATATGCTTCATGTGTGAAAGTTAGGTGAAGCTACACAGAAATCACAAATGCGTGATGCATCAAATGAACAAATCTTTTACCATGTAGCTCAGTCGATTAAGGCAGCGTCTGGGATGCTCTCGGACGCAGGTTCGAATCCTCGTCACGGCCCTTGTGGATTTGTTCATTAGGTGAAGCTAACCCCAAGCCCACCCTCCACCCTCCAACCCCCCACTCTCTCTCTCTGTCTCTGTCTCTCTCTCTCTCTCTCTCTCTCTCTCTCTCTCTCTCTCTCTCTCTCTCTCTCTCTCTCTCTCTCTCTCTCTCTCTCTCTCTCTCTCTCTCTCTCTCCCCCCCCCTCCCTCCCTCCCTCCCTCCCTCCCTCTCTCTCTCTCTCTCTCTCTCTCTCTCTCTCTCTCTCTCTCTCTCTCTCTCTCTCTCTCTCTCTCTCTCTCTCTCTCTCTCTCTCTCTCTCTCTCCCTCTCTTCACTCTCTCTCTCTCTCTTCCCCCCGTCTCCCTCCCTCCCCTGCATCTCTCTTCCTCACCCCCCATCACTCTTTCCTTACATTTGCACGCCATCAACCAATTTTGTAAAGTGAATGTATCTGCAGTGTCTTACGCTGGGTTCGAATCAGCTTATCTGTTTTTCACCGAGACAAAACAAAAGCAACAGTCTCCCTACTCCTCTACCAGGTGTTTTTCTCACATTCTTCATTGACTACGTCAACCTGAACCAATCTATAATACCGCTCCGTTACACCAGTGCTGAATGTAAGGGGTCTGATCCCCCATTTCTTACTGCTTGACGTAAGAGACCTAATGGAGGAAGCGAGGCTATTGTCATTCCCTCCACCCCCTAGCCGACCTGCCTAGAATTAGTGGGGATGTGGGGCTGTGGCATGCTGTACTGGTCTTGAAGGGAATGTAGGAGATTCAATTTATTTCCTTATTATTCACCCCATACCCATCCCGTGGGCGGTAGTGGAAATGGTTACCGAGGCACATAATCGGTTCAGGAACTGAACCCCATAGTTCATTTAGCTAAGCAAGTGACAATCTTATAAAGCTAGTTACACAATTCTTAATGTTATATATACATGTACATATATATATATATATATATATATATATATATATATATATATATATATATATATATATATATATATATATATATATCAACAGTCTTACCTGGGACACGGTCGGGTCAAGAAGTACCTGCTCCGCGACTTGGGGTGAAGTTAGTATTGGTGTTTAGACAATTCTACACACAAGGAGACTGACTAGTATCAATCGCATTCTACACATCTTCCCCCCCATGCTGGGTACTGAGATGGAGACTCAGTCACCAGAAGAACTGGCTACTTCTCACGGCAATATTCCCATGGACTCAGAAAGCAATACAATCATTTACATAAATACATATACACATCAATAATCTTTTTATATCACAAGTGATTCAACAAGAGGCTCACAAGTCACTATACAAGGCACTTTACATCTATGGTGAATCACGCAGTTCGTAGTCTTGCTCCACACCCACCCAACTGGGCGGCAGCTTTACAGTCATGTACATATATTACCTACAGTTTTAGTTTAGTTCATTTATTATGCACCCCATACCCATCTCGTGGTCGGCAGTGGAAAGGGTTACAGAGACACATAATGGGCTCAGGGACTGATCCCCACAATTCATTTAGCTAAGCAAATTACAATGTTGATGAGCTAGTTACGAAATTCAATACACATCGTCACATCATCAATGGGCTCGAGATCGACCACAAGTACAGTTTCAAATTTCATTACCTGCAGTAACCAAATTTTGGATACTTCGCTAAGATTCCTGTTATCTCTGAATTCCGCTATTTTTTCACATTCCATTAAATAATAACTTAAAGCATGCGAATAGTTCTGCTGACAGAGTTTACATTTAGTCCAATCTACATCAGCAGATTGTTGTTGTTGTTTAAGATTCAGCTACTGGGAACTAAAAGTTCAAAGTAGTACGGGCTATGGTGAGCCCGTGATGGACTTACTTGGCACAGGAGCGGGGCTGAAACTTGATCAGCAGATGTTACAAACTCCCAGAGGTACTTGTAGCCGAGCCTAAGCCTAGCAGTGGTAACATCTGGAAGTCTGCTAACCTTATTGAATGACCCATAGACGTGGGGTTCTTCCTGCATAATAGATTGATGATAGATAGAGTAACTGGTGTGAATTTCACTTTGCCTCAAGTCTACGAGATTTTGTTGATGTTCCCGGAATATTACTGCCCTCAGCCTACTCAAAGGCAGTCCAAGATGGTAGGAGAGATGAGACATAATGTTATTAGGTCTTCGCTGCGTCAGTATGGGTATTTCTTTTTGTGAGGCGTTTTACCGTGGCGGCAGGTGATCAATCACGGCAGTAGAGCACCCAGAACAGACTTGGTATACTGTACTTTATTAAAAGTCAGTCAGTCTCGCTCTCTTTCTCTAACCCACCCCACCCTTCCCGCCCAACCACTTGGGTTGGACAGTAGAACGACGATCTCGCTTCCTGCAGGTCGGCGTTCAATCCCCGACAATCCAAGTTGGGCACCATTCCTTCCCTCGTCCCATCCCAAATCCTTACTCTGATCCCTCCTCAGTACTATATTGTTGTAATGGCTTGGCGCTTTTCCTGACAGTTCCCTTCGCACTGCCTCACTTCCTTCCCACCTCTCTTAAAATTCCGTGGTAATTAATGTTGTACACACTTACGCTTTATAAATACCATTTACGCTTTATAAACACCAAGAACATAAGCATTACGCTTGAGCTGGTGCACGCACAGGCATTACTCACACGTCCTCTCCATTAACAATCATGTTGTTAAATCTGCAAAAACCAAAGTCTTCAGTCTTTCGATTAACTATGCATGATGCAGAGTCTGTGTTTGTTTGTTCGAATGAAGTGTTATTATTCAGGTTTATTGTGGTTAACAATATATATGACTGGGGCGTGGCTCACCTAATACATCGATACTCAAGTGGCACTTCAAGTGAGGCCTAAAGTCTCAGCTAGACATTGTATGTCTCTGAGACCCTCCTCTATTGTGGGTGTTCAGTAGTTTGGTTGGTAGAGCTATGGTCTACTGCTTTTGTGGTTCAAGGTTCGAGGCTTCTCTAGGATATAACTCTACAGCAGCTGTTGAACTCCCGGGTACCTATTTTCTGCTAGGTGTGCCGGGAACCTATTGTCTGCTAGGTGTGCAGAGGCATTAGGTGAAAAGAAACTCAAGTGTACAATCCGACATGGCGACGGCTAGAGGTGCGCACAGCGTCTCTCCTACAAACATTCATGATACCTTTGATGGTTTTAAGAAACCGCTGTTACAATGCATTCATTTAAATCATGATCGTCACCCGGTCTTGGAGGAGGATCCAGAGGGAGTTTTCCTGGAATAGACATCAGGGCGAGCAGATTAGAGGCGCAACGCCGCCATCATACAAAGGTAAACAGACCATCCCGGCCCCACGTGGCCGGAGTATCAACATCCATCACTCAATCAAGGTAGGACAAGTTCTCCTGGTTTGAAGACTTTCATTATTGCCTTTATATGACTTAGCAACAGCAAGTGTTATGATAATAAGTAAATAATAATAATAATAATAGTATTATTATTATAATTATTATTATTATTATTAACAACACTAAGAAATACATAAATAAGTAACTGACATATAGCCAACAAGTTGAAAGTAGTGTGGTATCGCTTGGTAGTTTAAGAACACTCCTGCAGGCTGGCGAAGGATTGCGAATTGCAGAGTTGAGAAAACGAGGCTGCACGAACAGTAATTAACCTACTCC